TTTTTGTCTAGAACAATAGCCGACTTACCGACTCAGACCTCAAATCGACAGGGCTTAAAGCTGGCTGAAGTCATCTCGTATATTTAGAACCCCTTTTGTCTAAAACCAACAGGCTTATGCTTAGGCCAGGGGCGACACCGTTTCACTGATTCATATCGGTACGAGCAATCGGGGCAATAACAGGTCCTGGAGGAAGGAACTGAGACAGTGTTGGAGGAAAGCGTGATCCGGACAAATCCCGTAACAGCCGTGCTCAGGCGCTGCCTCGGAACCAAGCCACACCTTCGTAAATGGCACCTTCACGCCCTTATGCGCGAGAGTATATATCAATGAGAGTCCGTTGAGAACTGTGAAAAAGAGTGAGAGACTAGGTCTTTGAAGCATTGGGTGCTGACGATGACGCGGACGGACGAATCGCTAAAATAGTGAAGTGGCCACTGTCGCCGATTCATAGACATCACGATAGGTGTTCTGTGTTTTTTCCCTTGCCTTCACCCCCCAATATCCTCAGATACGTGAGTCAGCAGACCGCAGGAAAATCTGGGCAAGTCAGTGACCAAACTATGAGGGTGTTGACAGAAAACTGGCAATCCAGGCCAGTCAAGATTCGACGCTCACATGCATAGATAACACCCTATCATGGTATAGGGCGGGAAGTAAGGAAGAATACATAGAATTCGGTTCCTGTTTTGGTAACGGTGATTGGAGACAAAGCTGAGCACAGGTAAAACAGGTACGAGTACGAGTGTATGAGGTTAGGTTTGTCTGAGATATGATCGGATACACAACTCGTCTAGATTAAGAGGATCAGGTGGAGCAAGAAAGCTTGGCCAGTCACGGCAGTTATATGCTATTTTGGTCCAATGTTCAAGTCATTTCATTGTTCGTGGGTTAAGGCACTAGCTTTCGCAAACTCGCGTTCTCTTACTGTCTCACATCTCATGACATCTTGCATCGATGAAAGTAGAGTAAAAGACAATATTTTATTAAAGAGGTGACCACAGATCAAATTCTGCGATTTTGCTAGTCTCTCTTGGTCAAGTGCGTTTGCATAGAAGATATTCTCATACTGATATTTCAACCATTCCTGAGTGGTTTAGATTTGGAACAGACGATAGTTTGTTAGTGGCTGCATTTTACTGAGTAATTGAAGGTTAAAAAGATCAGATACCTTTAAACCTATTTCCATGAAGATGCGATAATGACGTGTTTGCGTATCAAACCTTGAGACACGTTAGGTTGGAAATTGGACCTAGGCGCATTTCACTCGTCCTGGAAGCCGGCCATCTGAAGCAATGCTTACGGGCAGTGACGAACGCAGAAACCCTACACATTTAAAAAAAAATTGCCAGAAACTGTTGACTGGTGGCTTTTTGGAATCTATTGGGTCGGTGTGTCGTAACATCTCTTATAAAGGTCAAATCGCATTCCAAACACCGATGTCGTTCGACTACTCGTATATATATATCTATCATAACTTGCTTTCACCCAGTTACCTGAAAAAACAGATGACTTTATAGCCAGGATCAGCCAGGACGCTGATCGAGATGTATCTAATTTTTACACCCAATAATACGAACTTAAATTAATATTCCGAAATACGTGATAAATCTTAAATTCGAGAGCTAATCGCATACTAAGAAATAGGATTCTACAATAAGTGTGATCTTTACTTCGATCTATAAGCAACCAAAGCTTGCCTTATGGCGCCACAAGTTATAGTTGCGGAAATTCTAACTATCGTTATTACATGTAATAATTACGCAGAAATCAACCGGACCAACTATGAGTGTCCAGAGTTCGTCAGCGACATTCCCCCATGATGTGGATATCCATTTACAGAATGCCTAGCTCCTATTGTTTGACAAGCGAAGCTCCTTGATTGTTAAGTCTGTTACTCCACTCGCTGCGCTGCCGCCTAGTAGCTGGATGGCACACCGAGGTGCCTGGCTGACAATATAAGAGCGTTGGTCTTCATTTCGCGTACAGTTCCGTTCCCGACACCATTACTTCATTGCTTCATCTTATGCTGCTTCGTTTCGTCTTCACTGCTCCGTCTAACCCTTGATAGTGGGCCGCGGGATGAAAATGGTGGATCTGCGGTGTCCAAGTGTCATTGTGCTTGCGGCCCTTGCTTTACTTGGGTTTTGCCACTCGCCCTTGTTGGGGCTGGTGCCGCCGCCGTGCTCTAACTACGCGCGTGGGAAATAGATGATCGCCCTGCCAAGTCTCCCTGCCTCGGTGTCGACTCTTTTCCTTCATACTCACTACGTGCCCCTCTGCTTATTCTCATTTTCGTCCCCTTAATGCTGCGGTTCTCATTAGAGGGATGGAAACCCACAGTGTCATAGCTTACTCCTATACTGATACTTCCATACGGTCAGGCGTTTGCCGGCTCCTTCCTTCTTCCCATTGCTAAAGCAACTCAGGAATAGGCTTCAAAAGGAAAAGTGAGAGAGAATGAGACACAGATAGTTTAGCAGGTGCTTGACATCGCTGCAAAGTAAAGGATGTCGGGATGGGGTTTAGCTATGGGATATGAAGAGTACAAAACGATGGGGGAGGAGGCCGGAGAATAAACGAGGTACAGGGACCCTACCGGATAGCGAAGGGGAACTGCTCGGAGTGGAGAAGGTGGCAGCATTGATTGCTCAATTACCACACACCGTGTACGACAGCAGAGAAAGAAAAGCCCACGATGTCTGTGAAGAAAAGCGTTTGGGGATCGCCGATGGAAACCCTTAGAGTGGGGCACGGGCTTAGGCTGGGAGACCTAGCAACGTTAGCACCTACTAAGATCGCCGTGAGTGCTGATGCATCCGACACAAGCACACACAGACGCACAAGGTGGTTTAGCTCTACGGCCATGCCTAAGCTCGTAGAGATCGCTGCTGGTACAGAACACAGCATAAGGATAAAATGCTGGAAGAGCTACAGAATAAATGAAGAGCAGGAATCGTGGGGAGGCCCAGACAAGAAACCAGAGCACAGGACAGAGTGACCTGTTCAAGGGAATGTAATGGGCTCAAGACTGAGCAGAAGACACATTGCATGGCGGTGCTCTCGAAGCAGGCAAACAAGCTAGCTGACAATGGGGAGCGAGATGAGGAATCGCAACGTCGAAAATGAGGACGGCTCGACAAAGTGTGCGAGCTCTGGGCACGTTAGATCGGTCTTTGTGGCCGTGCTTCAGACCCGGCAAGTGAGCCATACATCAAAGTTATAGGCCCTTGGGGATATATGGACAAGCGCGGGTCTCGAGTTAGAACAAACAGCGCGTCAAGATTGGGCTTTCTGGTGTAGCCGCTTCACAGCTACGAAAACCAAACAGTTCTCAGTGAAGCAAAGGCCAGAAAGGCTGCTGATACGATCGACACAGACCACGAATGACTGGAGTGTAGTCTATTATGCAAAATGGATTACGCAAAACAGAGAGGTCTATACGTTTCGTTGATTGACATGGACTGGGTTCGTATAGCAAAATAGAATTGATATAATTGAGAGATCGAACTACTCGTGTTTAAGCATGTCAGAACCCTTCTATAACATACAGTAACCCTTATATGGTACTGTGCTAAGGTAGAGTCAGCGTTTATATGCACTCTTGAAATATACAATGCTACTTACTCTAAGTGGGTTTATCCAGATACATATCGATCGCCTTCTTTTTCCAGTGCTTACGAGCTTGAACTCAGTACCATTGGCCAGCCAAATACATGGTAGCTAATGGCACGGGGTCGCTCATATAGGGCAAAGAAACGTTCTTTAAGCAAATCGAAACTATGCTGATATATGCAAACTGACAATCAAAAAGTACGTTCATGAGTTATCCTCTAGAAGTGGCAGCCTATATCTGGCTCAACATATATGAGTACGAAGTGTCCAACGCATGAAAAAAGACAAAAGACTGTTTTCTTCGGAGACGGCAAGGGCGAAACGGAGAGAGAGAAAAAGTGGGCAAAAAAGGATCAGATTGGGTGGTTTTTAGAGTTTGATTTGTAGTGCATGTACAACATTGATCTCGTGTGCGTTGCCTTTGTGGTCCTGTCGGCCTGCCTGTCCTTTGTGTGACTCATCGATAATGCCCTAGGCAGACGAGCCAAAAAGACGGACCTTGATCTGCTCGACTACACTTCACTTGCCATTCTCAACTGGCCAAAGAGGCTGCTCACCCTACATGATTCACCCCTATTTCATGTCAAGGGTTTAAGCAACGAGCTGCTGCGACCGCTTTTTGCAAGTCCGCTGAAGCGATGCTGCCTGCCAGCATTCAGAATTGGTAAAAATGGCACGCCTCTATCGAGCATGGACATTGCTAGCCGTTGGTCGGGGGTAAAGAAGAAGTTCAAATACGACAAGTGTACCAGTAAAGGCGCATAGTAGAGTCTAGTGAAAGAAAAAAAGGGCCAATTTTTCCCTCTGGCAAGTTAAAGGACATGAGGTATTTCTCCATGCCTAAAGCAACTCGAAGCTAGGAGTAGTAATTGAGTGTCTGACAGTGGCAAAAAAAGAAAGGGATATTCGTTCGACCACCTAGGCTTGACGCGCCAAATCCGACTTTAAATGAAGATCTATTTAAAGGTTAGCTAGTTAATAAAGAGACCGTGAAGTTACGAGAATAACAAAACGTATCGCATTTATTTCAAGCATCCGCCATGGTTATCTCCATAGGCTCCATGCAGCTATAGGCAAATAACATGTAATAATGTCAAGTGTAAATTTATGTATGCAAGGTACCAATGAACATCTTTACTAGCTGCAACCTGTTAAGAAGACATGATATTATTAAATCAAGAAAGCATACGTTCTCACACCCTGAATCGCATGCACACTTTGTGTGGTTTCTCAAACGCGATTTCTAAATCAACAAATTCGGCTCTTGCTTCGAAGAAGTGCATTAACTATCGTCAATAAATTTTTACAAACTAACCAACAAACGAATATGTGATACTTACTCTCATAGCAATAGCATAAAAGTAGTCATGTAGCCATCTCATGATCATATTAAATTGTTGTGAGTCATTATTGGTTGTCGGTTGCCCACTTGTTCGCGTTGAGAAAAATCTGAAGCCAGGGACTCGCTGTAGCAGACGCCCAGCGGCCGCCATCACGCTGTTTATCCTTGGGCCAATGAGGGCATTGCCAAGGCAAGAAGCAACGCTCCGGATGAGGCATAAGCGCAAGATGGCGACCACATTCCGATGTTAAACCAGCAATAGCATTCGGGGATCCGTTAGGATTCAGGGGGTAGACCTGAACGAGAACGGAAAAAATTGAATGGGGGAAGATGTTAGATGGAGTCAAATCACCACAATGTCCCTTACCGAGCTCTAGGTCTAAATGATAATTCAAAGCAAGGGTAGATTGTCAGCTTTAAGAAGAAACGGCAGGACTCGATCGTGAAGCCATATATTCATATGTAAATGTATTCTCATAGTAAAAAGTAAGCTTTTCAGCCTGTTAACATGTATGCGCTGCTAAGATAGTTTAAAAGCCACTGCCAATACGAAATAATATAAATGATACAATATGACATTACTATTAGTAAAAGCTTTGAAAACGTGAACCTTAACCTGAGTGGGTGAGCCACTATCGTCGACGTATCGAACGGTGACGAGGTTTTTGTTCTCACATGCAGCCATCAGGTCGGAAGTCTTAAAATCAAATCGACCTTCTCCATGAGCTGTCCATACGCCCAGTATCGCACCCTCCATGCCTATACATTAACAGAAATGGCACGCAAAAGTTTTACCATGCCCATATGTATAATAAATATGATTCAACTAATGTGCGATCTTATGTAATGCTCTTTGTTCTATTTAGCTGATTTGTAAAACATGAGGATATATAATAATTTGTTTAGCATAGCATATGCCTTTGGCATACTCACCTACGAAAACAGCTAGACGCTATAGCTAGCTATAACTGCATCGCTTACCTTTAAGCCAGATGTTGTTTGTGTTCTCAATTCGTACGGCATTGTAGCGGCACTCGAAGCGACCGGAAATATTTGGTAGAAGCGACACGCCCGGATTGCCGTGCTTACTAGGACCAACCCAACTAAGAAGTGCCATCAGCTGGCATCCGTTGCACACACCAAGTGAAAACGTATCACTGCGTGATTTGAACACCTCGAGCTGTGAGCGCAATTTGTCGTGGTATCTGAAGCCGGCAGCCCATCCTCGAGCAGATCCTAGTACGTCGGCGTAGGAAAAGCCACCCGGGAAAATTATGCCATTGAAATGGTCTAGTGCAATATTTCCATCGAGCAAATCGGTCATGGTGACATCCCAGGCCTCGAACCCAGCCATATATGCTGCGGCTTGCATTTCCCGATCGCTGTTGGTACCTTCTTCACGCAAAATGGCGACCCTAATTTTCCGACTGGTAATATTGCGTGGAATCTGTAATGTGATTTTTTCCGTAAGTTTATACGGGGGAGTAGTGCGACTCTGGAGAGTTCGACGTTCCTGGGAAGCGGCATCGCAGTTAGTCTGGTAGCTTTCCAGCTCAAAACTTGTCGCCTCCCAAATGTCCCGTAGTTCCGCTACTTCAGATTCGACCTGCGATGCCCCACAAGTGATGCTGATCTTCGCTCTGGGTCCACTGATAGTCGTTTCACCGATCTTTACACATTTGGCTCCCGTAGCATTGTACTTGGCGATGATTAAGTCACAATCAATACTAGCAACTTCAAGGATGAAACCTACCTCTTCGTTGAATAGAGCCGAAAGTTCGTTTCCATTGCTTAGAATATTGATGGTAGCTCCACAGTTTCCAGCGAATAGCATCTCAAGTACGCAGGTAATAACACCACCATCGGAGATATCATGGCCAGCGAGGATCTTCTTCTCCGTCAAAAGCATTTGCGTTACCTCAAATGCCGCTTTTAGCAGCTCCGGTCTATCCAGGTCTGAAACTTGGTCTCCGAGTTGGCTGTATACCTGAGCCAAAGCGGAGCCTCCGAGACGGGCCTTGCCAGGCGTACACGTGACGTAGATAAGACTTGTAGACTCGCCAGCCCAGGGCCCCTTGATGTCCGGGGTAACAGTTAGCGTAATATTTGGACAAGGTGCATAACAAGAGATGACGATGGTACCAGGCGATTTAACGGTTTCCACGCCTACACGTGCCGCCATACCGAGCGAATCTTTACCGCCATCAACTGCTATGCCAAGCGCCTTCATGCTGGAGCACATCGCTTTGCACGCATCAACAAGAGCGCCTCCCTCACCGGGTAGTTTAGCGGGCCACATCCAATTCCCACTGCATTTGATGTCCTTCAGGGACGAAATTTTAGCGAACATCAAATTAGTTACGGCCTCAGCCACTGACATGCGAGCGCCTGCAGATGGACTTAGAATTCCCTTGACAGGCTGTTCGCCAATCGATGTAGCTCCACCGACTGTGTCAAAATAAGTCAGTGCTATCACAGCAACGTCAGCCAAGGGCGTGTGGAGTGGCCCGACGCATTGTTGCTGCGCTACAAGACCCGTGACGCAACGATCAACTTTACTCGTAAGGAAACGTTTTGAGGCCACGCTTGGCAGCCGCAGAACACGATGAAGAGCATCCATTATTTGGAGGTTTGACGGCAGGCTAAGCGCCTTCAAAGGCGGCTTGTAGCTGTCAAGCTGGAATGTTTTTCGGGGCATATGTCCCAAGACGCTTTCGAGGTCGAGGTCGACCGGTGGACGTTCTTGACCCTCATATTCCTCCAGAACAATTTTCCCTGTGCCGGTTATCTCGCCGACGAAATTAACAGGACAGCGTTCCCTACGTGAGATTAGTTCGAGAAGCTCTTTGTCTTCTAATTTGCAAAGGATGGCATCATTCTCCTGATATTCAGCACCCCACAGTTCCATGGTGCTGATGGTAGGATCACCTAACTGGAATTCTTTGGTGCGAATAATCGCACCGGCAGGTTCCGAGATTTCTTTGAGCACGTTTCCATTACCTCCAGCACCCTGATCATGGATGCTCTGAATAGGATTGGCATCAACACCACGTTCAGCACAAGCGCGAACAAGACGATGGAGTTTCTGCTCCATTTCAGCGTCGCCTCTCTGCACGGCATCGAAGTCAAGTTTGGCACTCTGATCACCCTGAACGACAATTGATGACGCGGCTCCTCCCCCCACACCGATTCGATACGCCGGCCCACCGAGTTTCACAACCAGCATGCCTAAGAGTCAAGACGTACAAGCGATAGTTACCTCGTCAAGTATACTCACTAGAAACCTTTACCCAAGAAAGACACTTGCACTGCAAGACACTACTTCTAAAAATGCACTTCTACACCTGTCGTTAGCTAAAAGCATCCCTTAAGGTAATATCTCCGCTTTGCAATATAATTTACTCCTATCTCAAAATAGGTAGTTTTTTTTTTGTTTTTATAATAAGGTACTGTTTGATGTCTTGATAATGTTACCCTTTTCTGGCGCTACTTTTGCACAGGTGTCCGCATCAATGCATCCAAAACCGCCCGAAAACATAATGGGCTTGACGTATTCCTTGCGCTCGCCATTGGGCAAGCGCATCCCGAACGAGCGTGAAAAACCAGTCAGAACAGGTTCACCGAATTTATTTCCGTAGTCAGAGGCTCCGTTGGATGCTTCTATAGCTACCTGAAGAGGAGGGGCAAAATTTGGTGGGTACTCCCATTCTTCTTCCCAGGGCAGATCGTAACCGGGAATGTGCAAGTTTCCAAACGAATAACCCGCGGTGCCTGCGATTTCGTACGATCCGCGTCCCGTCGCATGTGTATCACGAATCCTGCCGCCCGTACCAGTAGTGGCTCCAGCGAAGGGTGCCACACCCGTCGGGAAATTGTGGGTTTCGGCTGTAAAGAGCAGGTGCCGCTCTTTCGTCTGTACCGTGAGCCTGCTCGGACCACACGGATTCTCAGGTATCCACACTTGAGTCCTGTAACCCTTTAACGCCGACGAATTGTCACTGAATGCTATAACATTGTTAGGATTTGACGTCTTCTGAGTACCCTGGATAATCTGAAAGAGATTCTCTTTTTCGGCTTTGCCATCAATAACGAGATCGCCTTTGAAAAACCAGTGGCGGGAATGTTCACTGTTTGACTGCGCGAGATCAAAGCACTCCACTGTAGTGGGATTTCTTTTCAGCCTATTTTTAAATAAATTTGTATAGTAGTCAAGATCCCAGTCGTCGAACGCAAGTCCCAGCTCCTTCGAGCACTGTTCAAGAGCTGGCCTACCTTGGCCTATAATAGCCACTTCGGTCCACTGATCCGGATTCTGGTCCAGTTCGAACGTCGTCAAAGGCTTTTCATAGACCTGTTCAGTCATTTTATCGTGTAGCTCTTTGTGTATCTTGGCCAGTATCTCTGCATCGATGTCAGTATGTGCCATGAGGAAACGAGAGCATCGTTCAATTCGGGTGACATGGTCCAATCCGATTGTGTGGCATATACTAACCGCCTGTGTTGAGCTTGGCGTTTCGAAATTAAGACGGGGCCCAACCTCGACAACGAGCTCACCCTGATTGGCGTTTAACGCCTGGTCATGTGTAGGTGTTAGAAGCCAGCGCAACTTATCCTCCTGTTCCGTGTTTAATCCACCGTTCACGTTCACGTAATAACATGATTCTGTGTCCAACAGTTCAGTGACCTTGCCACCGGTCGCTGCGCGCAGTCGCTTCTCAATTTCGGCATGCTTAGCTGCTGGAACGGCGGGCCGACGGAAGAACCGAAAAACAACCATTACTTCGACGCTGCCCCCGTAACCGATTCAAATTTGTAGTCGATGTAGGAGAAAATTATAGCGTAACTGAAATGCACCGCGTCGACTGCAGCAAACCACAAATGAAGAGGAAGATGCGTGAGAGGTTATTGTGCAAAGAGTAGCAGCAGTAAAGGCTGTTTCTTGCTAAACCGTTCTTCCGAGTTGATTAAAAACGTGTAGCCGAGTGGTTGTACAAACAGTGGTTGGCAGAGTCTTTCGGCACTTTTGGCTGTCTTGTCGCCTGGAGTCGCTTACAAAGGTTCACTCGTGGCGCCAAACAGGAAAGCAGCTACAAAGGCGCTATCGGCGCTATTACCGGACTCACAGCCAAAGACATACCGCGGACAGACTTTTGACCAGTGCGTACCAGTAAACACGCATCGCAATATACAAGCAAAAGACTAACGGTAGGCAGCTCGTTCGTGGATATGATTTCCTCTTTTTTTTTTTTATCTGTTTTGCGGTCAGATTGTTTAACTCGAGAGGTCTTCTATCGTCGCTGCTGGAGAGCATTTAGCCTTAACCAATGGTGCTCTGAATTCTACTTAATTATTATATATTGTGTATATTGTTCACCAAAATCTAAAGACTCATTTGTTATTTGATCAAATCTGTATTTGTGCAATAGTCGAAGCACAGCAACGTTTCTATAAAAAACTCGAGACATGATATGTATCTTATTTCGAGCTATTTTACTTATATGTATATATATATATTTTTTTATATGTATACATTTTTTTAATACCTATGTATAGCTAATAGTTAAAATAATAGATATTAGTTCGAAACGAACAGATTGCGAGGATAACCATTCAATTTTGCCTACTGCTAACCGCTACTTTCCGGTCATCTCGGCAGTTTTCACCACGAGGAAACGTCATCCATGATGATGACTCTGTCCTTGCCCGCTGTGAACAGAGGCCTGACAAGGGCTCCTTGTATGTGGTGGAATAAAGATCGTGGTACGATACCATAATGCTAGATAGCATCGATACGATATGGGGAGGACAAGACGGTTTGATAAAAATGAAACGATTACCCCAAAAGCATTTAACGACGTCAGCCGATACCTATCTCTCGCATCAGTCATACCGGGCTGGCTATCGTGTTTTCTCATATTTACTCAATCAGTCAGCATAGTGCATAACAGCAACGCCGCTTAGCCATGTCATATACTGGTGTGAATTGTCCCGTACAGGAACTGTTGCAGTTTGTTTGGGGTCGAAGGATACCGTTGCCGTAAAGCTAACTGTCTTGTTATCAACCTTTCTAGGGGAATGCGCAGTTGGTATGGTCTCTTTTATAGCGGTATTTTATCTACACTGATTACGCCAGTGACGTAAAAAACTGGCGGCGACTTGCGCAGACTAAATAGCACCACTTTGGTCTGTCTCATAACTACAGCGGGGGCGAAATTGGGCGCGTAATGGAACTATATCCAGTAGTAAGCTGGAAGCTAATTAAATAGGAGTCTTGTAACTGGGCCTTGATACACGAGCGATAAGCTTGTGTGCTATTTTCAGTCTTTCTTGTTTTCAACCTGCCGTAGCAAACCTCATTTATGGGATCTCTAAGACCCCGCGAGCGCAAAAAATTACCAAACGGAAATAACATTCAAATATATACACGTGTTTCGTTCACCTGTCACATTCTTGATTACTTTTTAGTATATATATATATATATATCCCAAACTGTGAACTGGAACATTTATTGCCAATTGATATGGCCTTACAATGCTGCTACAATTACTGCCTTACAATACAAATAAAGTAGTAGTTTTATCTAAATTCATAAATTAAGCACTTACAATTAAAATGCCTGAATCTGTGCACTTGAGAGGCAAACTATCCGTACTACAGCAACTATTCATATGTGAGACTATTCATCCGTAGAGGGTCATTAAAGGTCCTGAACTGTACATATTATATTGATGAGTTTGTGAATCGGAAAATTGTCAACCGTCATGTTCAATAACAATCTTCGTTTAACTCTTTGAGGTCGAAGACAGTTGCAACTTCAGCGAGACACTGATAATTTTTTATTAATATATCACTCCTCAAGCGTTCAGCGAAGAAGTCCTCCCTAAATGTAGAGCATAAAGTCCGCTATCCAACGCTTATCGAAAAATCGAACTTAAGTTATGCACCGTCCGAATATAGTAATCGACCTTCGTTAGGATAAGGTCCCAATATGAGAGGGCAGCGGCGCGATCGAGTCCTTAAAGCGGCACGTCGAATTAGTTATGCTAGGCGCAGGTCGTAATAAGGCTTAAAGGACAACTAATGTTACCCCGTTTTACTTGCATTAATCGAAGCCAGCGTCTCTGCAGCAGCGCCGATTTCTGAAATAACGCTTCATTTATATATGAATGTGTGTGTGTGCGCAAGTAGCTTTGCTCGTATGATGTTTTTTGTAACAATATCTAAATCAATAGGCATCGTCGCACGCCAAATACGTCCATAGAAGACATATCCGATGGGTGTGTGGCGAAACAGTACTATTTTTTTTTAACTTCTTTAATTTTTTTTTTACTTCTTTTTCCAATTTTTAGGCTCCGTTAAAACGAAAAGTCATTAGAATTTAATATTAGAAAGATCTACTGAAGTATGGGGCGTCTAACGGAGAGAAGCTATTATATTGAACAAGCAAGTATAACTGAGTGATAATCACAGGAAAAATGCAACCAAATCACCTACCCACGTACACTTTGAAGATTCGAATTTAAAAGCTTCTAAATATATCGATTTATAATTCAATTTCCAAAGCGTGCAAATATGATAATGATTATTGGGCTGCTGGAAATCGAAGGTTTGTTGCATCGGGGAATTCGTTTTCTAGCACTACCCCCCCCCCCCCCCTGCCCCCGAACTTGTACTGGGCAAATCAGACTTCTAAGCTAAGGGTAAGTGACCTGCCAAACGAGGTAAGCCCACGCTGGTGCAAAACGAGAGATTGTTCTGAAAATGAAGCTTATAAGCACATTTTATTTTTGCGATTCAAAAAGTATTCACCGAACACAAAAATTACACAGGACTTATTAGCCAAATGATCAATCCATGAAATAGTTTATAATAATAGACTCACTCTTATCTTGGCATTTAACGTAAGTCCTCTATTTTACCATTGTTGGTGTCAGATTCCACAGCGCTTTTACTTTCGTTATCATTTATGCCTAAATAGAAAGTACAACTTTGACAATTTAACTTAGCTCTGATTAGACCTGTTGTCGCACAAGGTTCGATGGTTCGCCTGAGATGAATACTTTTTTTTAGATCAATTTCAATCACATTGAAATTTTGCTCTCGGACAGCCTGGATATCAGAACACATCTTCTTCTCACCCCCCTGAGGCTCTATATGACCCAGTTAAGGACGAAAGCTAGGACAGACTGTGAGGCCGAAGCCTCAATAAAATACAGACAAGCAGAAAGAGGACTGTGGCCAACGCGAACAGTCGGTACGCCACATTTCCCGTCACTTCAGTTGTTCTTATATGTTCCCGCTATTAGCGTAACGACGTTCTCTGCTTTCGGCGACTCGGATTCTCCCTTTCGAAACATAAAAAACGAAAATGCTGCCTCTATCCTAATCCTATTACTTTCAACAAAGAGCCGTAGATGTACATAGACACGCCCACGCAAGCATACACGTTCAATGTATAATACGACTAAGCAAAGGTCAATAGCTATATGGAAACAGCACAGATGCTGCCGCCGAATTTAAAATAATAACAAAAAAAAAAGTGGACGACTACCCCTGTGGCACATCAGCGGTAGCCAATAGATCGAAAGAACATAATAGCATATGGGTGCATGTATTCATGTGCGAACGCATGCATATATTCGTACACAGCCTAACGTACACGAAGCGAACGCAATGGTCAACTTCGAATGGATCCGCGAAAGAATCCAGTGCATATACGTAATTTAGGGTGCCAGGTTAATCGATAAAGTAATGGGGTAGGGCACGGCATTTCATCTGTGCAGAGTTCCAAATACCAACGAAAAATTGAAACCGAAGCTGTATGCCATAAAGCTATGCTGAGAGAGCATCCAGTTGTTCCGATTGGTAGCGATGTTTCCGCGGGGCAGTGGTTAACGCTTGTCTTTGTTGATGTTTATGCGTAGCCTCTTTTGTACTTATCCATATCAAATCCACCAGTTTGAAGGCAAGCTAGGCATGTCTTACCGCGTGATTTGAACCCGCAATTACACAGATTGTTTTCGCCATTTGTCGTCACACGAAAACAGTTTAACTAGACGACGTCTACCGAAATAGAACAATAAGTATCACTAATAATATGCACTAACGAACACGGTGTACAATCATGTGAAATTCAGTTTAGGTTTATCTATACAACCGAACTCTCGTTTCAGTTTTAATTCTAGGCCAAACAATACTTTGGGTATGTTTTTTTTTTTTCGCAGCGTGTGGTTTTATAGAAAATTACTATTTCTGCTTTCTCGCACTGCCGTAGAGATGTATATATATATATATATATACAAGATAATTTTCCACAACGAAAGTAATTTAAGTCTTTCATATATGATTTAAGCAACGAGGCTGGTCGATCATCAATAGTACGGCTCGATAAACGAGGCTTACTCGATAGATACAAATGAAAACGTTGGTCGAAGTTCGATAGAATTGGATATGTTTGAATTCGCTAAAATATCCATCGTTTCTTAGCGTAGAGTTTAAATCATTGTGGTCTTTGTTATGGTGGTGCGGCAGACAAAGAAATTTCAAAATGAAGTTGTAGACGTTGTGTAACGTGTCCAGGCTTCACGGTGACCTTTTCTATTATATCTTGTAACTTTCTCCACCGAAACATATCTCTTTTCCCAGATTACTGTTTGGTTTGAATCATATTAATTTCACATTCAGATAAATCCATAAAATGCTAGCAAGCATTTTGAGACAGATAGATTTAAAGCTGTAAGGATACACTAACGAGAGTGTCTACGAAAAATGTCATAATTTGTCGTTAGAAAGCAAAAAAAAAAGCAGAACAATGCTGAAACGATTAAGAATCTATTGATAACATAACACTAGCACTTTTTCTAGATCTGGCTCCATCAAACCAAATTGGATTTGACTGGATAGATGCAACTATTTAAAGCATTATCGATTATCGGCCTCCACTTGAAAGAAATACATTTGTGTAGTTGGCTGGGATAAATGTGGGTGGCGTGGTTTATTATAGGTGAGCCATATATTAGACAGTTCAGAAAGTCCCGCGTTTCGCAAGGTACCCTCTCGTAGCGCAACTGAAACACTGAGTAGATTTTATGCCACAGATAGATACATTCTAACCCCCGTCTACTTACCGCCCGTCGCTACCGGGTGAATTGACGGCTCTATGCTGTGTCTAGGATAATCGTTGGTAAGATGACCCGAAGAGGTTGCGCCATATAGAAAACTAGGTGCGCTCCGATATCCCACTCGGCCTCTTCCTTCTGCCGTATGCTACGGCGACGTCTTAGCTTCGTAGCAGCATTGTACCAGTGGAAAAATGTTGCTTTTGCCAATCGGAGTCAGTGTGGCAAGAGGCTGCGTACTTGGCGGATCGCAGAAAAAATTATGTGGGGACGCACATGGTGGCATGGAAAACGTCACGCGGGAGGCCAAGCAGGTAATCGAGTTAAGAACGATGCGCGCCGCACATGCCACAAATACTCTCCAACTCAATTTCTATAGCTATATCTAGATGCGTCCACAGTGTGTGTAGCGTTGCAAACTATTGTATTCAGTAGTACATACCAGCGGTAAGGATTATATGGCCGTGCGAAGAATAGCTCCAGCTGCTGTTATCTACAGACTTCTGCCACCATCTGTATAGCATTAGCTAACACTACCAACATCGGGCCTTTGAAAGCACGAACGTTCGCTTTGTGACCGTTACCTTTTCTTTGCTTACCAAACCCGCTATTCGGCTTCTTCAACGAGATGGCGTTTTTCGGAAGATGAACCTCTCAAGAACTACAGCGGACGCGTGTGCTTGTCGAGGGCAGACCAGAGCTAAAAGAAAGTCCATAGGAGCCCCGTGCTGCCGGAGCGTTTACCTACCCCCCTCCCCCCCAAAAAAATGATTCGATCTTTTCTGCTGCAATGGGTACCTGCACCGCACTCAAAGTTAGGTGTGCTTGCAACTTGCCATATAACTTGTAGTGGTATGGTACGCTGTGAGAAGGGGCGTAAACAATCAGCCTGGTTAGAACAGAACGAAAAAAGGAGGTCAGCGGCACGCAAAACATATTTACGATGCTGGGACGCCAGAAATCACTGCTGTTATAACCATCATGCGAAGGCGTACGTTCTTGATCGATACAAGCAAGTTGAGGAAGCCAAAGGGCCGACGAAAACCCCTCCAACAAATTCTTGACTCTATTTAAGGTGCAGACAGATTTTAAAAGGTAAAACAATATTTCGATTAAGAAATGAATGTGGCATCAATGATGATGATAGTACGATAAGCCGGTCATTTGGGCAACTGTTCTCCTAGGAGAGTCGTCAGTAGCAGGTACATTATCATTTTTAAGGACATTTATTGATCCCTAATCAACGTGGTTAATGTTTTAGTTCGCTAGGGACTACGCATTTCATGCTCGTGTTAACTTCGAGCGAACATATAACAAGATGATTAGCCTTTGTCGGTACTTAATTTTTCAATTTATTTGCTTAGACTCTGTCGAAAGAGGCCGAGTTAGTAAATGACAATGCTGGGAAAATTTTTACTTTGCTAATGCAGTGTAGTATTTATCAAGGTATTATCTTTCAACATTAGTAAGGAGCTCTTTGGATTGCGAACTTTACGTTATTAAGTAAGCTTACATAATAAATTCAGCGAGAGGACATAACCAGTCTGGATCTCTTTCGTTGCTGACACCATCTGTTCGTTTTCTGCTTGAAGAGCATCTCACAGAATAGTCACTACGTATCGATTCAATCCCGTACCATTTTTTGTGTTTGACTCAATTTGTTTTCTAGTGAGTCTACGTTGCAGCTTCACTCACCACTGATCATTCATCACGCTACCAGGCTGTCTATGAAACATCCCCCATCTACTTATGCACAAGGTAGTCAGCTCAGACTAGACTCGTACTTTGTGCCATTAACGTTACGACATGGTATCACAATACGTGGAAACAACCCACAATGACTGGTGCCCGGCCGGGGTTAAGACGATTATGCGGATCTGCGGGAAGATGTTCATTCGGCCTATTCTCAAAATAAGTCAGGTCAACGAGTGAAGAAGCGGCGAAGGCTAACTTTAAAGTTAAAATCGTTTCTGTCGGAGGAAATGCGTGTAAAAAAGTAGCTTCCGGCATTATTATGATGTATGTTCATTGTGTGACAGCCCACCTATATAATGAGTGATGTAAAAAGCACCGAGATTCAATTGGATGTATTCATGTTGCGGCGTCACGATCGAGGGATTTTGCCAAAGCCTGATAACCGGGTGAGTCTGCGGGGCAAACAAATGTATAACAACGACAAAACTGCTGTTCCGGTGGAAGCCGTATTAAAAAAAAAAAGAGATTCTGTGTAACGAATGATTTCGTAGATGATGCCATGCGTGAATGTTACAGGAAATATATAGCTGAATAGCCGTTTTTTGTTAGTATTTAATAACCCAATACGAATGCGGAGACCAAGAACGAAAATTCTCTACCAAAAAATTTACGAAAATTCCTTTAATACCAGAACTAAACGTGCTCTTTCAAGCCGAAAGTAGGCATGTTCGACTTTTGAGATTGAGGTTAACCGTCATCCTCTGCTACAAAATTATTAGTTTTAGTTACGTTAATTAATAATTATGTCGTTCAGTATCGTTTTTGTGAACACTTATTGGGCATACATAATTGCACTTTGTCCAAATAAAAAAGAGTCATTTATCAACACCAAAGTAGCAACCATATGGCAACTATATCATTTCCATAGGTACTGTCATCACCCACTACAGTGGTCGCCCTCCGTTGATACCGATTAACCGTTCAACGATCTCTTCTTTTTCCATTTCATACCCAGTTTCGTAGCGAAACGCAAATGGCAGCGAAGCCTGTACGGAGTGCGCCCGGTGTGGCATAAGTTACCATCCCCTAAATCATATCTACCCATCTTTGACCAACCCAGACCCCTGATCGACTTGCTTTAAGGCACACGCACAGTCGTACGCATGGATTTGGTAATAAGTCCACACACGCACCTGTCCTAATACTCCTTGGTGGTGGCGAAAAAGTTGGGCTTTGAGAGAGCTGATTGCGCGCAGTAAGGGAAAGGGAAAAAAGGGCTGGTAAAGGACTCGTAAGTGGAACACAGTGGACGGCCGTCGAGAACAACGGGTACAGCTAAAGCATCAAGGGGATATAGCTGTATGTTACTGTGACCGCGAGTAAAGTATTCCAGTTTACCTCGTATTTACTGTTGTCGACAACGTACAGTGCGCTATCACTGTCGAAGTTGCTAGCTACCGCCGTCACCCTGACAACCGCTACGGACAAGCCGACAACGGGCGCGCATTTATGGTTAAGAGGGTGTGTCCCCACTATCCCCTACTCTTTGAGGCCGACTCTAACACACAACAGAGAACTGCGCCCCTAGCGATGACAGCACACATCAAATAACAGTGCTTTGACCATTGGTTCTTAAATTCACATCGCAATTCATAGAATCGTGGTCGGCTAAAGACGGAAGGCCAACATGGAATTGTACTATCGTACTCAGAAGTGTATCCTTATATCAATTGGAGTGATTGAAGAGGTTGATCGTATATTACATGCATGTCCCATGCCAGCTGTTGTCAGGAGCTCGATGATAGAGACTCAGCTTCGACTAATTGACGGAGTATGATTGGATAAGCGTCTATAATAGCTCGGAACGGATATCCGGTATATTATTACGTACTTGAATATCAAATGTCGTCGGAGTTTATCGTTTGGTGAAAACTGTCGTAAAACAGCGTAATTATTATTCTGCCATAACTGTGCAACCAAAGAAAGGCTAGCAACATTGATTTAATGTTACTAGTGACTAAATCAAGGTGATTTCAGTCCTGTACAAAGTTGCCGATTTTTAGTTACAACCGACAGAGCAACGCCTTCGGAGTGATTGTCTCGTCACTAAGAGGAAAAGCCAGAAGAAGTTCTGTTCTCGCTCAGGTAACGAACGACTGAATGATACCATATAGTAAAGAGAGTGACACCAAGGCTACTAGTCCTGCGCTCGTTTACTGTCTCCCGCTGAGTTGTAGGTTACGATTGTATTACCGATGTGCATAGTTGGCATCTGCGCAACCTGTCTTGCCGACTTTCTTATTGGCGAATTAGCTGTTCACTCATGCGGAAGCCCCGTCTGCCGACCTCGTCTTCGTTATGATGCTTATCCTGAAATATAAGAATGATCCGCACTACAAATTCTCGTTGGTTAGTGGCGCCACACCGTGGAACCTGTTGGTCACCGTTGTGCTGTGGATGGCATCGGGCATCCTCTGGTACTTCAACAATCTAACTCTGGCAGTCGCTGCCTTCATTTTAGGCGTCTTCATGTGCCTTGTCAATGCACTTAACTCTGTTGGAGATTTTCTTCGCGAAAAAAGCGTACGCGAACCGGCCAAACTACTTCAGATGATTTCGTCCGTCGACTGGTTCTTGCCGGTACGTTCCTGAGTGAAACTAGTTACTTTTCAATGTACAGAGTAAATGAGTGGTTGCTCCATGGATACAGCGCGCACGTATATCTAAACCAAAAACTGTTATGCAAGATTTGCTTACCAACAGCATCTGTTTATTGTTTCTTTATATTCTTTAGTGCATTTATTTATCGTTGACCCTCTTTTTGTATGTATAAAATATTAAGAGAAAAAGAGAAAGTGATGACTAAGACTGCGTCAAATTAAAGTTCTCTAACAATCGAGAAAATAAAGTTAATTAGCTGTTATATAATATATATAACATAGAAAAGTTACCTCATAGCATGCGCACGCTCGTAAGGGAGTGCTTGTATTAACTTAATAATGCTGGGTTGTTACAACGACTTTTTGCAGGTTGAGATTTAATCAACACGATGGGCAACGCAAGGCGTGTTTCTTTTTCGCTTAATAGTAATAATTTTTCAATGAGTCTTACATTAGAAGCAGAAAATTTGAAATACTATGTCACTTTGAACATACAATCATAAAGGTTACAGCTGTATGCAAATATATGAAACGTTATCTTATAATATATTTACCTGTGTGCACGAAGACTAACCTGACCAGTCGGTGGCAAGCAAAGGAAAATTTGTCTCGGAATTTCCAATAGATTGTTCTCTAACATAACTGAACTCGTTTTTATACTCGATCGAAGTTGAAGTCATCGCTATCCTTGATTGATCCAGGAAATTAAGGTTAAAGGTTAGCAAGTCTCCCATATTTTTACGCGATTTTCGATGTATGTTCGTACATGCACAAGACTGTTTATGCAAAGATACATTCGCGAAACGATCAACCATAATGCGGCCAATAGGCGAAAGTCTCTAGTGTTGAGCGTAGACACCGGGAGGTGAATCCCAGGAGGTGCGCCTGAATGCCATCTTGGGCAACTATAAGCAAAAGCTTCGAAACCTCAGCGTTCCGTTGCGCTTCGAAGAAAAACACTCTTCACTTGGACTATTCGGTGGAGAGAAAATAACTGTAGCAAGCTGTGTTCGACTCAAAAAGCAGAAGACCCTGGACCAGCTAGTCCGTTAAATTTTCTTTTTTTCCCTTTGAAAAAGAAAAGGAAATGATTTGGCTGGGGAGTCTCTTGTTACTACGAACTGTAACTTCTTTTATGTACAGTTCATTCGTCTTTCGAAGGAGGACCAAACTAGGACTTCTAAGATAGCGTAGACTTGGGGGCTTCTTCGTTGTCGCTTGTTGGGTTCCTATTCGCTCAGATGTTCCTCAGCACGCTCAGTGTCTTGCATTGATTCAGTTCAATCATTGCGTTAGACTGAGTTTGCTGCCGCTGTTGCAGCCTCTAAGTCGCATGTTCTCCTGGAAATACTCTCCCTAACTGCGAAACCCTCTAGTCCATTCTATCCCCAACACTCAGTGTCCCCTGAGCTGCTGATCAGACAGGCTTCTGACTCTTGAGTGAAGTGTTAAGCCCCCGACAGAGCCGCCATCGCTGTCGACTCACGGTCTCGCGGAGTACAGAATCTTTGACTGAAGCTGCAGCTGCCACGAGTTGTGGCGGCCAAGGTGGCGAAGGCAGTAGCAACAGACTTACGGCTAGCTTGGTAAAAGCTGACAGACACCTTGAATCCCTCTGACACTCCGATTCGAACGAACTAACCGCTGAGTAAACGAAGTCAAAAGAAAAAAAACGAAGGTCTGAATTTTTCTTTCCCTTTCTCCCTTCATCATCCTTTAGGCTGACTGAGCTGTTTTCGACGCTAGACTAGGGTAAGCTATGCTCATAGGGAGCATCCTTTCCTCATAGTCCTCACAACGTACAGACTCAGCCACTTTCTCCTCATGAGTTGTTCCTTCAAAGAAAGGCGAGGCTTTACTTAACACCGTTCCTGGCGTGTTGCCCACGTGGAGGAGAAAAGCCAAACTCAGCTGGCCATAGCTGGCTACCCACTATACCATGAACTACGGCGGAGAACCAGGTCGCAAGCCAAAACTCGCTGCCGAAACGGCTATTGCAAGCTGTCGTCGATAGTCGTTGCTTACAGTAGCGCAGTCTGTCTAAAATGGCAATTTGAAATGCATGACTGGGTCGCTCCGTGTCCTCCGACCGATCCTGGCCGCTCACATTTGCTCTACGTTTTGTCAGCACTTTGGGAAGGGGATTTGAAGTGCGTATGTTGTAGCATAGTACTCGTACTCGGCGTAGAAGTAGGCTGGCTTTTCAGAAGACACAGAGTAGCCTGTACAACAAAGACCAAGTCTATATCCTATTGCTAGCCCCTTAATGTCGCACATTTATTAACACATACAACGATTACAAGTACGATTTAGTAGACAAAAGTAGACGTCTACTGAACATAGATAGTAACATCCTGCAAACAGGTACTTGGAGCTTTAGATCCTTCCGATTGAGCACGTTCGCCATCGGCACCGACCTGCAATGGACCAAGTTGGTTGTCGCTCTCAAGGTAACATAGTCGTGAACGCTTCGTAACCGGCGTAGCGTTCGTTTTCTGCCATCACAAAGTATAGACAGGAAAGCGGCAAGTGAAAGTTGCAATTTTGGTAGCGTCTGGCCACGTAAACGTAGAATTTAACTTCTTTGTATGCAGAGTAGCTCATGAGGCGAGTCGGATTCGAGCATGATCCACGCAGAAAGTGGCTATCGGAGCCTTTCTTTGGGAAAGAAACCAACAACTAATGTAGCACTCCAACGATTACCCTATACTCCGTTTGATCTAGCCTAGGGCATTCGGAATCGGACAAACGGTCTCAGGCTTCGAATACCAGCGAATAACCACCCACAAAAGAAAACTACCGCAAGCCGAGCAAAACTGCTTAACCCGTCACTCGATGCAAATAAGCATAACAAAGGCAGTGAAATTTAGCCCGAGGCTCTGGTTTACTTTTTTTCGCGCATCACATCACATGGAATCATTATTGAGATCATATCATTGAGTTAGAACAATGTACTCTTTAAAATAGAACCATATCCATTAGTGCTATTGACGCAGAGTGTACATAACTTAAGACAAGAAGTAATTTTCTGTACTAGTCGAGCTTTTCATTACTCATTAATATTAATACTCTTATTCTTTGCTACACCGCTTCTATTATGATGTTAATCTTTTTTTAATTATGTGCCAATTTCATTTGTTTTCTATAGGAATACAGTGACCACGTTTCACCTATGACTTCAGCATCGGTGTCAGCATCTTGTCTGAATTGGTCAGCGAGTGGAACTTTGCTTGATCCGAAAACGGCGGGTGTGTCTGCTTCGTGTTGTGAACGACTCAACGAAATGCATGGCGGTGACTCCAGTGCAGGCACGCCTATGCATGTGGGAGTTTTGGCTCTTAGTAATTCCCGCGTGTTTAACTCGTGCGATCTGACCGAGGACATCGTTCGACAGCCACTGATCTAATATCTGAGCTCAACGCCCAAGTTGAAGAGGATGACCCGGTTTTCGAGGCAATATGATCTTCGCATGTTGCTGTAAATCAGTCATCTCGCCGATCGACCAACATTGGCGATATATATATTATTTTATTGGACATCCTTTGATTATTAAAGAGAAAACGGTGCCTGGTCATCAATATAAACCTAGCGAACGTGAAGCAAGAATAATGCGAAACTGTTTTTTCAAAAATCTGTTTTTTTTTTTTTGTAAATCAGTAATGTACTGTCAGTGAAAGGGTACGAATATAGACTTATGTTAAGCCTCTGGGCTGATGTAAGTGGGTGTTCAATTTGTTTATGTACTATAAAACAATCAAAAAGCAGAACCAGTAGTTTTCACAGCCAGTATATACCGAGGTGGAAAGGCTCAGCGTTACACATGTACATTGAGCCTTCCATTGAATTACTATCATGGTCTTATATGACTCGTTACATGCGAGGAAAATGTCATCATTAAATGATGACATTTTCCTCGCATTCTGTTTCTGTCAAAACGATTAGTTTATTGTTTATGAATGGACGTGATGTCGCTGGTACACAGCAGAATAATCACACCGACTGAAATAAGTTTCTTTATTGAAGTTACTAACTGAAAGGCTTTAGGCTCATTAGCATAACGCAACATTAAGGAATCAAAAGTCTAACGAACGGATCCTGCTTCACCTACCACTAGGACTGATCATTTTAGAAAGCACAAATTTGCATGAATACTATACAGTAACAGGGTAATTGAGGAAACTAACAGTTCCTAAGAGTTGATTTTACGACTATTAGCAGTATATTAGGTGAAGTAATTCAATAGAATCTATTGGCTTCTCGAGAAAAGCACTGACTGTTTGTCTAGCTAAATGTTATACGCCTTAAGTAGTATCGCGTCGGACGTTGGTATTATTTGATAGCTGAGAGTATTAGATACGTTGGAATGTTTTTACTCAGACTCGTGATTCTGCAAACATTTGCTAGGTTTTTATTTTTTTTTACGATAAAAGTACATCCAGTCCATAATTCTTAAAAAATATACTTAATACGCGTTATTCAAAGCAAGAGCTTAAAGCTAAGTTTGTGACTTTGTTCTGTAAAGAAATGTCTTCGTAGTAGTTGACAAATCAAGGAAAAGAATTCGCTCCATCGCATTTTTATTTATAAAACTTCTGCAAAAACGGAATAAGATCGAGCTATTTCTAAAGGGATTGATCATGGGTGATGATGAAAAGCGGATCATGTACAATAATGTGCAAATAAAAAGTAATAAAAAATGTGCTTCACAATCTGTGGTAAAGTTAAGGCTGACACCAAAGAAAATGGGGATTGGAAAGGGATCGTATATTATGGGTTACTGGCGTGTGGCACAATGGTTGATTCGAACTCTACAGTCGACAACTACATTGCAATGTCAGATCACATGCATCTTTAGCTACCCAGCAAATGTTGAGGGAACTTCAACGGAAAGTTTCCATCAGACTGTCATCTGTTTCAGTCTCTGCAGAACTTTCTTATTGGTGTTAATTTGGTCATTTAAAAAATCACTTGTCATAGCTTTTTTGCTCAGAAACCACAGAGGTTCTACATTGGTGGGACGGTTTGGCATTGTTATCAGAAAACGGCAGAAGATCATTGGTCAAAATGGCCCACATTTGATACGTATTAGTAATATTATTGTAAAGACAGAAAATACTTGCTTCAGTTATGGCTTACAAAAGGTCAGTGCTTTTCCGACTGCTCAATATAGAAACGCCCAAATTACTTCAACGTCACCATACAGGAAAAGTTTTCGCACATGTTGACCTCTTTGCTCTACATCTCGCGAAGTCTCATTTCCTATATTGAAGAGGTAAACATAAAAGAGGACACTTTAAAATGAGGCTTGACTTCTGCGCCGAACTAAAGCCGAGGCGGTGCATCAATACCCAATCCACAATGCGGAATGAAGCATTAAACCGTACTTTAATCATACTGAATATGCTGCAAAACATAATCTATTGTGGTTGTTGTTACAAGATGTATAAAAGATGTCTAAAACGTTCACACGCAAGGAAATCCACTTACAGTATGGATAGAATTTATGGATAGAACATTTCTCAACAATCACTATAGTTAACCAAAAATATCATAGTGAATAACTTTGCGGACCTTAGTAGTGCATATACTTACTTATACGACGAGATAAATATTAGCTGATGAGCACACGTTGACAGTCGGTGAGAACTGATACTGTTACAGATGTTGTGCATAACCCAGCAGTAAAAACACCCACGCAATGTCTTTCATAATTGACGCAGCCAATAATGTCCTCTAGTCATTTAAGTACTTATCACAAGATAAGTGAAGATAAAACAGCATTAATGATTCGCACCAATTCTGACTATTAAATGTTCGCAAGCACTGTAAGGTACTTGAGTTGCAATCTAATATGTGCTTTAGCTAGGGAGACACGACTAATGTATAGTCCAGAAAAAATATAAATCTATAAAAAATTTGAACAGGATTTGGGTCAGTATTATTGATATTACAAACTGACTGGTTTGAGAAACCGATGGGAATTTCATCTCGCTATGAGGAAAATCGATCTTTGAATCGAATATATATTATATTTAACCGGTCAAGTAATGGGATAGAGCAAAAAAGCTGCTGTAGAGGAGAGGATTTAGACGGGCGAAGCTTGAATTGCAATACACAGCTAAATCGATCATACTTTTAGCATTACGGGATGGACGCTCCAAAATTCTACTATCTGTATATCTTGCATAACGAATATCTTCTTACGAGACTTCTGTATACCCTTTTTGTATAACGTTAACTGCGTTCGGTTTATCCATAACGATAAAAATAAAAAAAAAATATGACAACAGAAAAGAATAGGTTTTTTCTTTATTTTATGGAATGTTAACTTTTTTTGTTACTTCATTACACATATGGAGAATTTAATTTTATCGAAGCAATTCGCTAAGATGTTGAAGCATAAATACGGTTAAATCTAATACGTCGGGTGATAAACAAAGCAGCAGTGTGTGTGCACAACAAAAACTTTGTAGATGAAGGTACTATTCAGAAATGGCTTACTAAGTTAAATAATGGCGCCTTTGAATTAATAAACGCACTCCACTCAACCCTTCTAATTCCTTGATGGTCGCCGACGTTCGAAGCAGGATAATTATTACATAACTTGACGGTTCGCAAGAAAGCGCAAAAATATTGGTAGTAGGCTCTAGGTACGTGATGAAATGAGAAGAAAGATATTCAACAAAATGCTCAACGTCAACCACATAGATATTACATGAAACAGAGCAAGTCTACCGGGAGGAAGCCTGAGTGTAAAGAAGTTCTGGAATTACCTATCGATTATTTAGCTGCTTCTTTTCTATCATCCAGCCATATCGGTGAGCCATTCATCTGCAAAGAAATACGTTCAAGTAGAAACATGACAGAAACTAAAGAACAGACTAAGGTCGCAAACAGGTCCCCGTCCGTTTGAACAGTACAACAGCCACCATTGTTGTGATGCCTACATACGCACAGTTTTAACAAAAAAACACTACTTCCCGATTAGAATTCTGCTGGAAAAAAAAAGCAGAACTTTCAACACTGATAGCACTCCACGTGAATTAATCATTGGGATTTATCGAACTCAAATAACTTTTTAGAGAATAAATTATTTACCCACCTTACGCATGCAAAATATAATTAACTGTATTGATTCTGACAAAAATTATGACTAAAATGATCACAATGAAAGTACATGACATCTACCAATGGTGCAGCTTGAATTGATTGAACGAATAGTTTCTAGCACATTGTTAGGGCACAAAACTTCTTTTAGATATGTGCTTGACTGTATCTCACAGTAAACGCACAAAAATATTGTTCAATGTAAAACAAATCGATATTTGAGCCTCTAATTATTCGAAAACTAATAATATCAAACACATTTCCAATAGAATAGGCTGTCACAGAGTATCGCGCTACAAAGCTAATAACCAATCAAAATTAGTTAGTTGTGTCTTGATGGTATTGCTGCTTTCCAGCTTTCTCTCTCCTTAGCCAAACTCGTCAATAAAAAGTATCAAAAATGTAAGCCACTTCCGTTGTTTTGACTTGACTTGTACAGAGGGTACTTGACTGTGCTTAGTTGCAGTTATTATTTATACATTTAGTTGTATAGCGTTGCTTATTTGAAGCACGGGATTCACCGACCGAATTCAAATCGTGGCGCCGTTTTCCTCTCCTGCGCGCCAAAAACATCGATTGGGGCGCCACCTGTATTGTTTATTAGTTGCGCCATTTTGTAGAGCGGCGTAAATTGTATTCGTCGTGTAAGTGTTTGTGGCTTGTGCGGTGATACCTTTCATAAGTTATTCCGTCGGATTGCCCGGCTGCATAGCCGCGGACCTCAAAACTAACAATCATGTCAAATCCGGCAGTGAACAAGGAGACGTTCTACCGGCGTATGAAAGGCGTCTACCAGGCCTGGAAGGTGAGTGCAGTGAAAGAAAGATGTTCAGGAGACAAGTGCCGTGTTCGTAGCCGCTGTTTCTACTCATGAGTAATGGATAGCCGGTCGAGCGAACGTTCCGCATCGTCTCGTTGAAACGTTTCTTAAATGGATACGAATTTCCACAGTGGCGTAGCACTGCTGCATCGTAAGCAGAGAGGTTCGCGGGCGTCCAATGAAACGGTGGTTACACAAGTACAGCCAATCGTGTTTGGTGCGTTTGGTTTTCTTGATGTTATAAATTTGGGTTGTTGATCCGGCCACCTATTCGCTAATTTTCCGTCGTCGGCCGCGATCGGTGAAACATGATTTGGATTGCCTCATGTCGGCGGTGAAAAATTGAAGTAGAAATATGACAAATAGCTAGACAGATTGTGTTTCACCTAGCTTTTTCATGGAAAACGCATTTTCACATTATTAACCCCTAGTTGTCTTTGCAGGCTGACGGCGTTTCTCCCATTTATTCGTGCCTCAGACCCGCTTAGTGAGCAGGAAAACTAGTGCTAGAGTTATAATGATGATGACATTAATTTGAAGCTTTCCATTATGATTATATTCATCACCGAATGAAGTTGTCTTAGCTTTTCTTGTTTGCGATTTTTGGCTTATAACTGCTACATGTAGTGTGACCTTTTCTAAGTGTCCATGGGCGGAAATATCTTTCCGCTTGGTATTACTTGCCGAGCAGATGAGTTCCTGCATGCAGGTGAATACTTTTTCTTATATTGGCTTTGAAATTTATTATAGTTCGTTCTAGAGTTCAATGAAAATATTGGTGTTGAATTAGTGCAGCCTGTAATATATGATAGATTCAGTCCATGTGTGCAATCGAGTGTACTGTGTTGTTAATCGTCTCATTACACGGCACCTCAGTGCCCGGTCAGTTCAGGCTCCACAACGCTGCTTCAAGGATGAAGCAGTGTAAGTCTGAGTGAGTCTTTCATATACGTACTTCTTCTCACACCTGCCATTTCGAAAATTGGGATGAGCGGGCCCATTTATTGCTGATGTGCTGAAAGGCTAATTAGAGGCCCGCTAAAAGAAAGTGAAGTAGTGCAATATTTTTCATACGTGCAATGGGATGGTGGGAACAATTTGAAAGTGGAGCAAGGGGATTTTCCGCCTTGCTATGTGGGAGCATTTAGGTTTCGCTATAGGAAGCAGTCACAGGGGTCCGCAGAAACATCCAATTCGAGCGAAATCCTTCCAGGCACATAAAGAGTACGCTATAAATGACATAGTTTACCTGTCTAACTTTTCTCTCCTCAAAAATTGAATCTTCCTCTTCATGTAGCTTTAATTGATACTGCGGTCACATTGTTTTTTTTAAGTTGAAGCTAATAAAAGCACGATTCAAAGTGTGCATCTGATATTTTTTGCTATTTTGTTGAACTCAGATCGGAACACAAGGTAATGTCCCAGAAGTAGAGCTGTCAGTAAATGTGTTTTATATTTTTAATATGAAAACTTCTGTGTCTAGGCAATATCACATAATAATACCACAATATAACCGTAATGCAATTATGTATAGTATACAATTGTATTGCTATAGATTATGTATAAATTGTAATTTGATAAAAAAAAGGCTCGATGCTTTATATTATTTGACAGGTTTTCTATGCCCGGGTGCAAGTTAGTGGAAGATCTACTCGTAATAATCGTCACGGATTTTATTTGTGTTCTTGGTCTCCGTTTAGAATGGCGAAGCCGAGTACGTACCTTTGGCACAGTCTGACGCCGTTGTGGTTGTCGTCGGACAGGATGAAGACGTAGTGTACTCAAAGAGCACAGCCTTACAACATTATCTGCTCGGATATGAATTGTCCGACACGCTAATGGTACTCTGCGATAGGCAGATCATTTTTCTCGCATCGAAGAAGAAAATTGAGTTTCTCAAACAACTGGAGCAGGGCAAAGAAAACGAAGGTGACGTACCACCAGTCACATTACTTGTTCGCGACAAGGTATGTTAGGCACAAAATGATTGGCTTTATTTGTATTAATGATCGTTTTGATTTAAGCTGGCTGTTATAAGATTTGTAGTAGGCATTTCATTAAGAAAATCTTGCATGGAAATACACAGTTAAATTAGAATTGTTAAATGATTCAAGTCCTTTTAGGATACTTCAAGCCCTCGTGCTTTCGTATATTAAATATTCATACGCTGGTTCCAAATAAGACTATGTTAGTAAATAGTATGGGAAGTAGTGGTTATCAATGATAAAGTAATTTTACTAAAAATGCGTATTCAGTTATATCGGTTGTAGTAATATTGTATTGTTCATATTTTCAGAGTGACAAAGATAAAGGGAATTTTGAAAAGATTATCGAGTCTATCGGCAAGTCGCGCGAAGGTAAGGCGTTAGGCGTCTTCTCAAAGGATAAATTCAAATCGGAATTCATCGATCTTTGGAAGGACGCATTGCGGGCCGCCAAAATTGAGAATACTGTTGATATTTCACCAGCGTTAGCCTATGTGATGTCTTTGAAGGATGATCACGAGATCAGCCTGACAAAGCGTGCTTCCCAGATGTCGGTTGATGTTTACTCAAAGTATTTGCGCCAGCAAATTATGGAGATTATCGATTCCGATCGTAAAATTCGTCACAACAAGCTGTCTGAGATGGTGGAGGAGGCATTTCAGAATAAGAAATTCGTTGGCCAGAACACCGACACAAGCCAGGTGGAAAGCTGTTACCCGGCTATTATTCAAAGTGGCGGAAATTATAATCTTAAATTTAGCGTCCAATCGGACAAAAACTCATTAGACTTTGGCACGATCGTGTGCATGCTTGGTGCACGGTACAAATATTACTGTTCAAATATAGTAAGAACGCTGATGGTGAATCCTTCGGAAGAACAAAAAGAGGTATACACGTTTCTGGTCGATCTTCAGGAGCATATTATCGAGAAACTGCGCGACGGAGAGAAACTCAGCGATGTGTACGTCGAAGGTGTTAAGTATGCTACGGATCATCGTAAGGATCTCCTTGAAAATCTCACAAAAAATTTTGGGTACGTTTTGTGTCATGATATACTGGTGCAAATGTGATGATTTTCTGTTAGTGTTATCGAAAGAGAAGTGGGGAACACGGTTAGTGGACATGGTAGATTGATTCCTATAACAATACCTGTCTTATCTTTGTTTTATTCATTATTTCCAAAAAGGTTAATATTTACAAGAGTTGACTACAAAAAAGTGCAAAGGCTTACTGGAATCTGTTTTACAATGTGACTTCGTTTACTGCGAGTTATTTCTCTATTATATATTCTGTCTGTACGCAATGTGAAGATTTGTCTGGGGATGATTAAGTGTTAGGATAAAGTTGCGTGGTGTATATGACAACAGCAACATTCTGCTGCCTAATGACTTGATATTTTGTTATAAAAACGAACTCTAACTTCTCATCACTCCGATCCGACTCGTGGGCCACATCAATAATATTATTCCAAAGTTTTTTAGAGCTTTTTCTGCTTGTCACCGAGTAAATGTTTGATTTTCCCCAATCGTGTTTGCACAGTAGTATAACAATACAATTCTCGCATTAACTATGCGACAATGTTCTTTTTCGCAGATTCGCGATGGGCATCGAGTTCCGTGAAAGCAGCCTGTCAATAGCACCGAAAGCAAATGCCGTGGCCAAAAAAGGGATGATCTTCAATGTTTGCGTTGGCTTATCGAGCCTTGAAAATAAAGAAGGGAAGGGCGACACCAAAAAGTATGCTTTGTTCGTTGGTGATACAGTTGTTGTTGTAGAAAAGGATCAGCCTGTCAACGTATTGACGCAAAGCAAAAAGAAAATTAAAAACGTTGCCATCGTCCTGAAGGATGACGAGGACGAATCTGAAGAGGAGGAAGAAACCGAGAATAAGGGCGGTGATAAGAAACATAAGGATGGCAAAAAGGACGATGCAGATGAGATACTTGGACGTGGCGCCCGAAGGAACAACGCCATTATGGAGTCAAAGCTTCGAACAGAAGCATCTGGCGAAGAGAAACGACAACAGAACCAAAAGGTACTTGCTGACAAGCTTAACGAGGAGGCAAGAAATCGTTTAGCGAAGCAGGGCGATAGAAAACTCGAGCAAAAACACGGCAAGTCCGTCGTGTCATACAAGAGCGTGGGGCAGCTGCCTCGCGAACCAGAAATGAAGCAGCTTAAGGTGTTTGTTGACAAAAAGTATGAAACGGTCATATTGCCTGTGTTCGGCATACCTGTACCCTATCACATCAGTACAATCAAAAATATCTCACAGTCAGTAGAGGGCGATTACACATATTTGCGAATAAATTTCTTCCACCCAGGCGGTGGAGCTTTGGGCCGAAACGAAGGCTCATATTTCCCTAATCCTGAAGCGACCTTTCTTAAGGAGGTGACGTTCCGTGCCAGCAACCTCAAAGAACCTGGCGAACTGTCAGCGGCTTCAAGTAATTTGAATACGGCATTTCAGCTAATCAAAGCTGTTCAGAAGAAATGGAAAACACGTGAAGCTGAAAAGCGCGAACAAGAAGGCATTGTCAAACAGGATGCTTTGGTGTTATCAAACAATAAAGGAAATCCTAAGCTGAAAGACCTCTACATCCGGCCCAACATCCATTCGAAAAGAATAACTGGTTCGCTCGAGGCCCATACAAATGGATTCCGTTTTACATCGGTGCGAGGTGACCGCGTCGATGTTTTGTACAATAACGTCAAGCATGCGTTCTTCCAGCCTTGCGATAACGAAATGATAATTTTACTACATTTCACATTAAAAAATGCTATTGTGATTGGCAAGAAGAAGCAAACGGATGTACAATTCTATACCGAAGTCGGAGAGATCACTACTGACCTCGGAAAACACCAACACATGCATGACCGAGATGATCTCGCCGCTGAGCAAGCCGAACGTGAGCTTCGAAACAAGCTAAAGAATGCGTTTAAGCAGTTCTGTGAGAAGGTTGAGAACGTCACAAAGCAGGAGGTCGAATTTGATACGCCGTTTAGAGATCTCGGATTTCCTGGCGTCCCATTCCGGTCTACCGTACTATTACAACCCACGTCTGGTGCGCTGGTTCACCTAACCGAGTGGCCTCCATTCATAATTACTCTAGAGGAACTCGAGTTGGTCCATTTCGAGCGAGTACAATTCCATTTAAAGAACTTCGACATGGTATTTGTGTTCAAAGATTACCAGCGAAAGGTAGCGATGGTCAATGCCGTTCCTATGAACCTGCTAGACCATGTTAAAGAATGGCTAAACTCTTGCGATATCCGTTATACCGAGGGTATCCAATCGCTCAATTGGACAAAAATCATGAAGACGATTACGAGTGACCCAGAGGGCTTCTTCGATCAGGGCGGCTGGAAGTTCCTTGATCCTCAGTCAGGTTCGGAGGATGAAGGTGATGAAGACGACGAAGATGATGAGGATGAAGAATTCAATCCTACGGAATCGGAGGACGACGGTGACGGTGGAGATGACGATGATGAAAGTGATTCTGAGGACTATTCGTCGGAGACCGAGGCCAGTGAGTCGGGAGGTGAGGAATCCCTCGGCTCTTCGGAAGAATCAGGTAAAGATTGGTCTGAACTCGAGGAGGAGGCTCGCCGTGCTGATCGGGACAATGAAGAAGAGGAACGTGGTGGAGGTGGTGGAAGCGGTAAAAAGAAGGTGCTCACGAAGCATTCGTCGAAGGGGCACTCAAGCAGCAGTAGCAAGCATCACTCGTCAAAGCATTCGCCGTCGAAAAAGTCATCTCATAAGGTATAGGCGGACATCACAAATGTACATACATTTTACTACTGTGTGTGTGTAGATCGAATGTTGTTGTGCTGATGTGCTATGCCTGCAACCAATATATACTCATTATATAATGTGATTATAATAATCAAATTGACCGTGAGAATGGCGTTCGTTGTTTGGTTCGTTTGTTGCTCTAATGATATAGCAGAATTCCTACGAGTTTGTATTCGGCTAGATCGATGATACAATCTCTAATTCTTGTCGGGTATGACTGATAATACTAATTTTCTCACTTTTAATGGTACTTATTTACTTGCCGTATGTCAAAGCTTTTTACGCGCTAGTCATATGAAATACATTATTTATTCTCTCCCCACAGGATAAGCATCGTGACAAGGATAAGCATAAAAGTCCGCATAAATCATCGCATAAGTCACCCCATAAGGATAAGAAGAGATCACGGGACGACAGCAAGGGTCGTTCCCCCGAGAAGAAACGTCACAAAAAGTGAATGGACATATGACGTCCATAGTCGATATTGTGCGCATGAGAGTTAAGATCATCTCCTTAACAGAGAAATCAGGAATATTACAGGTCGTCTGTCCCTCTGATTGGTCATCGGATCAGCAGCTCCCTGAACCATAGGTATAAAAGTCATTGGTGGCACTTGGGCGCGGGATGATATGGAAAACGTGTTGCACGACCAGCAATACGTCTATTGTATAATACATTTTATTCTGTTGTATGAATAATTAAATATTAAAAATAATAACATATTAATAATAAAAGAGTTCATGTATGTATATTAATCGACCTTTGCAGCCCGTGCGTGTTGTTTCACCCCTCTTTCTGATCCTGCACACACACGGTAAAGAAACAAGGAAGCAAGCAAAGAAACAGAAATACATATAGCCATATATTAAATTTGAAATTGATGAAATAGATTCGGTTGAGGTCTTTATCGTCAACCAAGTAAACAACAAAAGCAACTAGAAAAGGACGAGTATTACAATCAGCCTTATCGGGTTTGCGGTAAAGAAGCCGTTTGCTGTTACATCTGCGAAAGGCAATTGCTTTTATTTTGTAAATGTATTGGCTACATATGACCGCCTCGCAACGAGGCGACTTAGCTACATATATACATACCATAAGCATACATAGACAAATGCATATTTGTGGGTAATTTGCTACAAAAATCACCCAAAGATGAGGGGTTAACGGGAACAAGTTTGTTCCAATGTAAGCAAAAACAGAAATATTATATAAAGAAAGTCGTACGAATAAAGAATAAGCAGTGAGTAAAATATGGGAAGAATAAAAAGACAGCGGATTTGTCTATTTATATTCGTGACTGTATTTGCGAAAGTGTAATCTCTCTTGAGCCAATAGTAGGCATGCTTAGATATGCTCGTAGTTAGAGAAATGGTTGTAAGAAATTGTTCACTTTGCTGTATAGTACCTTGCTTATATAAAACGATGGCGGTTTCGGGATGTCGTGCCTAGAGTACAGTGCATGCTTGTAAGCGCTAAAAACAAACATTTTTCGAAATGAATAAACAGTTCAGTTCTTATCGGAGACTAATATCAATGCCTGGTGACAAAGTAAGCACCTCTCCCTAATTAAATTCCAAAACAGCCGTTATGCAAATTTCTTATGTGTTTTTGCGTACTGTGTGATGTTACTAGATAGGTATTCGTGATAAAATGGCCGAAAACAGCAAAGTGTACTCCAAACAAATTATTTTAAGAGAATGTATATACGTCTTTAGGCTGCTGCAGAAAGTTGGACAACTTGTGTGGTATCCTTTGGCTGAAAAAATCAATGAGAATAACATAAATCTCGTTGATTTTAGCCGTTTAGAATCTATGTGAATATAACTTCCCGTTGCTATTTTCAAAGCCGGCGTAGTACGAGCTGTATTTTAGTTAAATAAAATGGATAGGATTAACCTTAGGAGAATAGTTCTTTAATCGACTTAAACCTCATGCTAATCATCAAAGTGCGTCCCCGCATTTAGGATTATATGCAGCCTATTCTGAATGGCGATCTGTTCATTAATAGAGGACCTGTTGTTTCCTCTGTGAAATCGCCGTTTCTTTTTCGGTTATACAACGCGCTAAATTACTCCTTCACGTGCCGTCTTTTAAAATAAATACTTTAAAATAGCATGCCTTCTTTCAAGTGTATAATTTGTTGTTTGCAAATGAAAACAAAAGAAAACTAAATAAATAGACATTCAATCAAGTTACTAAATTGATATGCATACGTCCACAAAGTGAAATGTAGAATCCCTACAATAGATAAGGGTTCCTAAGATCAATTCTTTAGTTAAACGGTAACAGACCTTAGCCAGCTATTTTTAGCTCAAGATTTACTTTCTTCTAAAATCATGAATTTTGACCGGTGTAATTTTAGCGCATTGCTATTTCCAGGTGTGCAATAGTTTATGCAGTTTCTTATCATAATAGTTCATTCACTTTTAAATATTCGCTAGAATGTTTCCTTTAGAAGGTAAGTAGTAAAAATCTCAGCTTGGAGAACGTAAAGAGCTTCCGCGTGCTTTTGATTCTGTGGAAAGTCTCGCATCTTTGGAAACCACTGTTGCATTTATGTATACTTATCCAGTGTTATATGAAATGCCGAATAATCGAACGACCATATGTTAAAGCGTTTTAGTATTTTAGGCTTGACTCAAAAGAGTAATGGCGTCTTCGGAACTTCGTCAAGTGTTTCAGGCTTGAGGAGCTGGCAGTTGCTTGCCGCTGTGCCTACTAAAGAGATTCCTGTGACAGAAAAAAAGAAGCCTACTTCTCTTTTGACTAGTATTTTGTCGATTTCCCAATAAATCACTAATGCGTTATTTATCAAACCGCTCATCAATCAAAGTCTTTCAATGACAGGTGTCAAGTTAAAATTTGGTTACCGAAGTTCCGGCGCTATTGCAATCTATTTCACTGTACTCGACGGTCGAACGCCGTGGACGCACCGTTTATTTGAAACAAAGATGTAAGGCGGTGCCATACATCAGACATAAAACCACAGTGTGTGGAAGATGTAGTTACATCACTCATCAGAACATATTGTTCGTCGTGCACCGGCAGTGGGTCTTGAGTAAACAGCACAGTTAGCTAACGTTAATAGACGACCTGTGTTAGAGAAGACTGCTCGTGATGAGTGTAAGAGATTATTAATTTTAGAAAGTGGTAAGAAGACCTCTTTAACAAGGAAGTTAACAGAAAGGGTAGTAAGTCTGAAATCTGTGCAGGTCACAAAAGACCGGCATTATTCTCTTTCTTGGTGTGCAGCCAAGCCCTGAGGTAGTGACGGACATCATGTAGCAGTTTCACGATTATTTGACGCGGTAAACTTGTAACTTGATTCTGGAAAAAATGTTAGGCTTAGGAAGTTATAACTAACTAGTAGATAATCATTCAACATTCCTTCTAGCTATTTAGTTCATATTACTTCATTAATTGAATACTGTTGGTAAGAGCATATTGCTGGAAAAGTTCCTGGCTTTTGCATTGTTAGGACGTATTTCGTGCTTCATTGATGGCTACTTTAGTTATAATTACTACCAAATATCTACTAATTTATATTAATAGAACACCCTGTGTTCTTCGAAAGAGATTTTCTAAATGAATGAATTTACTCTGTCAGTAAATCACTAAATTAGAAAACTATTTTTGTTCATCCTTCTCTTGAAAAATTTTGCGCTGAACCTTTAGAGGGTAATTTAGAGTTCCAAGTGGCTGTTGTTCGATGCTATTGGTGCGAGGTCAACAGCGTCGTTTAGTATCAGTAAAAAGCTTCGAGGCAAACGTGATGGCCAGAGGACCTATACTCCTACTTGCCTTGTCAGAATGAAAGTGCCGATCTTATGTACTTGTCAAATAACAAGAAACTACATGATTCTATTATAACAATGTCAAAAATTAATACCTTATCAAACTATTTGATATTGAATTATTATAAAATACGATTTAACCATACTAATGGCAGAATTATAATTGGAACAGAAATTATTTTCTACAACCGATCGAACTTAATTTCGGTTGGAAATTTTCGGTAATTCGGTCGGAACCTAACCTAACCAATTGTTACACACTTCCACTACGAAATTGTGTTTTCACTCCAGATGTTAATTTTGACACGCTATACGATCGAATACTACATGTATATCGTTGTCTCACAACCACTCGATCCCTGTGAAGCAACATAGTGCGATAGTTGCCAATTTCTCAATAAATTCCTACCAAGCATCGCAAGTAACCACATTTGACGCTCTGGCAATCAACATGCTTTTCTAGTTATTCGTTTGCTGATGACTAGGTGTTATTTAGCTTCTTCTTCTTATGCATAAGGCTGCGATCATGCATTTGTTCAAGTCACAAAATTTTACGCTCAGTTTGGACCTCAATGAGGGGTGTGTTAGCGCAAAACGGCATTTCGACTCCTCATTATAGGTGATGCATGAAGTTCAAGAAGCTTTTGGAACAGACCCTGGATACGTATGAGGCATATGACAAAGGCTTTAAAGCTAAATGTAGCATATTTAATGTACCTCACAGCATTCAAACATAACATTTTCCACGCAAAACCCCGTGAGAATATGAAGAAAGCTGCTTTGAGTTATTTTGGAAAGAAAATTCGTATATCTTAGATGTAAACTCACCGCTGGCGAATCAGATTTTATCTTTGCAGGCTGTGACTGAGATGTCTATCGTCGCCTCTACCATCCTTTGCTGTCTCTAGCTAGAAAACCTATAAAGCGCATAAAGTTATAGGCCATATTTTATAGCAGGGGACCAAAGATTACTCCGCAGCCTGCACTATCCAATCTGTTGGCGTGCTTGTCACTTGGTTCGTGTCCTTGACTTTTGCGCTCAATATCCTCACATGCGTAATGTTCTACTTTGGATCTATTACAAGAGTGGTTCATTCCCTACGTTTCCCGTTCCGACCTAACCCATCTCCTGTTACTCCCCGTCACTGTGCTATAGTTTGACAAAAATAACGTCACATCACTCAGAAAATGTTTTTCAACGATCTAAATATTCTGTAGAGTTTCCTAGTATTATTGTATTTTTAACATGGCAGATCACAGAAGATTGTGCAGCAATAAAGCGTGTAAACAGAAGCAATTTAGCGTTTGCTGTAAATATTCAATTAAGTATTTAGTACTACGCTACTAAGTTACGAGTAGTAAGGTATCAAGGCTGCTATGGACTATCACTGAGCTAAGGTACACGTTCAATAATATAGCTGCTATGTACCTTTTTCACGTATGTCATTGTGATTCCTATTTCTACTCTGCATTAACTGTACTTGCTCTTTTTTTTAGTACTTGCAATTTTCCTCTGATCCTACGGATTAAGTACCTTCCTCTGAAGGCAGGTACTTAATCCGTAGCCCGAATATCTGAAATTCAGAAAAATCTATGATGACAGTCGTCGCAACAATATTAGTCGCTTATTAGCCGCCTATTCCTTACGTATTGTTAAACATCATCGCTTTCATAACAAGACAAATGTGAAGGTGGCGTGACCTGGATAGCTAATGCGCATCTGCTTAAGTGCGTGGCCATGGTAATCATGAACATACAGCCATTCCTGGTTCCTATTTAAGCGTTAGCGAATAGTTGTTATGATATATTAATACCACGCCATTTCATAAGTATATATATATATATATATATATATATATATATATATATATATATATATATAAGTATATACAAACTCGAAATAATCTCAGCAAGACCCGTAACCGCTAAACCTTGTAATCAAAGAGCAGTCTTTGACGCTACACGGAAAGGATGATTCCGCAGACCTGTTTATACGGAACGAATAGCTGGGTGCATTAAGAAAATGAAGACAAGAAAAACGCGAGTTCTACAAGGTTTTCCTGAAAAATTATTCAATAATAGTTGAGTACTTTATTATAAAGTTTTCAACTATACATAAACATACAGTATTTATTTCAAACACTGATCAAATCTAGGTTGACACACTCAACTAAATGAATTGGTAGGCAAAATGTAGCAAAAGCTTTCTTCAAGCTCATCTATGAATTCTCTGTACACAGCAGTTAAATATGGCTTTCAAACGCTAGCTTTCTAATTCATTGAAGGGCAAGCACAGTTATAAGTCTACGTAAAAATCGAACTAGCGGTCAGTAAAGGGCTTGGTGACGCCAGCTAAAAGTGAATGAGTTACGAGTTCATCAAATTGAACCTTGTTTAAAAAAGTAATTACAAATCTGTTCGGATTTCATTAGTACTCAGATACGGCCCAGTAAATGTTCACACCCTTCTTTTGTTGAAAGTTACTAAGGTTTAGTAATAAAATTAACCATTCGCTACACTTTTAGGAAATAATCAGCTACGAAAAACATCTACGTTCGCTTCATATTTTCATATTACGTTGTCATTTTTACGTCTCTCCAATTCAATGTGTGAAACCGTGCATTTTTATACGTTCGTTAGAAACCAGCGAAACATTTCCAGTTGCGTTCAATGAACTTACGAGAGCGAGACTTCACTTACGAAAGCTTATAAAATAGCGGTTGTGTGTATATATTATACAATGCTCGATTGTATCTTGCGTCACATGAACATTTCGTCTGAGCTGAACCCGATCAGATAAGAGAGCTTATTTATCTAATGCCAAAAAAAAGAACCAATTGTTTCGACTGTTTCCCGAAACATATTACTTATATAACAGCCTTCTGAAAATGTGATGAGTCGTCTTACTACTTTAATGCTAAGTCGCCAACTTGTAATATAGGCAAAATTGAATTAAATAGCAGAATTAACCCAAACGAACCAAATAGAAGGAATAAACTTGGAATTTAGAATATATATACACTAACTGGAGGCAAACAAAATCATTTCTCCTTGGTTTATGTCCTTAAATAATTTAAATGTTCGAAACATAGTTTAGAATTCTAAGCCAGGGCTAAATTATTTTTAAAATTTTAACTACCATTATGTAAGCGGGTTCTATAGCTGCGCAATAATTCCGACTGTGTGAGAATTCTCTCGCTATCTGTAACTGTATTGAGTTAGGCATGGCCTGCTGTGAATAATGTTTCAACACACAGGGGTATGATTTGGATTAAACAACTAAAACTTTATACTAAGTATTAGGGAAACACTCACATGATTATTGATTTGAATTGTTATTGTGCGGTAGGTGATTTGTACGTCGCGTAAGGTTTATCATCGGCTAGGTGCATATAGGCGAAGTCAATTATTGTGTTTTTATATCAGATGTTCATAGAGGAAATCTGGACCAGCCCCTGTATTGAAAGTGTGTTGTGGCTATTCTGGCTGAATCGTTGTCTTTTTCAGCAACAGATTTTATTTGCTGCTTCAAAAAAACTGCAATGCCGTATCGATCTGTGTCTTGCCCAACACTTATAACGTATAGCACAATAAAAATATGAGCTGATGATTAGGTTCTACTATTTGTTTTATACTTTAGATATTATCGATCGTATCGAGAATAATCAAATTTGGTTAGACTTTTTAGAAACCAAGGCTATCTGACACTGATATATATGTTTCTCATTAATTTTAGATTTTGTAGGAGATCTGAGTTTTCAAGCATAGTTTAAATTTGAAATTTGAGATTATTGATAATAATTATATACGGCCACGTTTAAAAGTCTCTATGCTAGCAAAAAGAAGCATATGGGTAGCCATCGATTTATTTTTTTCAAACGCACCTTAATCTTAGATTCATCTAGCACAAAAATTTCTACCAAATTAATCCCACCAATATGGCACAACTATAATTACTAAGCGCTCCGTTCTAACAAAATGCCTGTAGTATTATTTAACTTCTCGCTGGTCATGTAGAATAAACGTGCAGCCTTCTGAAGAGAACAACCAGTTTAGACAATAACCGGAGATTCCTCGAGCAGAGCTGCAATAAGAGCCAGAACACAAAACGTTCGGGACATGATTCTAAAAAGAGCAACCAGGTAATTAAATTTTTATTCTTATTTACTTAGCTGAGCATACTAGTTCTTTTCATTTTAACATGCGTAACATTTGTTGGTTTTTAGAGTCTTTAGTTGTAGTTAGTTGTCTCTTTCATGTTTATCTCACTACGATATCTATATGATAACAGAAGTGTCCCATTGCGCCGATGATGGTGCTGTTCATTGGAAAGGGAGATATATAGAGAACCGATAGTTTTTCCTAAATAAAAACACGAACCATTGAAATTCTATGAAATGTTCGCTTTTGCGAGGTAACAGTATCGACGGAGTAACGATTTTAGATGAAAAACATAAAGCAATTATTATATGAATGTAGGTAAGACTACATGCTACATACACTGCAACAACGTATTTAAGTGTGCTAAACAAACAACGGAATGGAGAACCAGTAATGCGCATCTACTGCTTAAACCGTATCGTAATAGGTAGCTGAATTTAACAATACACGGACAGACGACGGGACTTTTCCCAAGTTGTCTTTTATATCCGGTCTCGAGATCACAACAACATATCACGAATGCTACACGTTTCCAATGCCCTGTCCTGGCAATCAAGCCGTATTCTGCTAGGATTATATTTCGAGATCCTATTTCATACTGCCTGTCTTGCTTGAACACATGAAAGAAGATGAACAGGCGCTGTACAGCTGTGACATAGAGGCGCGATAAAAAATATCAGGGATCAAAAATAACAAGTCTATGATTTAAGTTCCAAGATGGATAGTTCAACAGCTATCCACAACTTGCGTGTTCAGCAGGTTAGCCAATTCGCTCCTGTTTTATTTAGCTGGTTATTAGGCTAGCAACTTACGTACTAGCAACAACTTAAAAAGTACGCTTACTGAGCTAAGCTGGATTCTTTTAGAGTTTGTTGTTTTGAGATAAATGACTAGACTTGCGCGAGATTTATTTTTGTCAATACGCTGGTTTGGCGAACTGGTCCAACCTGTTCCTGAGCACTCCAAATGTTCGAAATAAATAAATTCTTCAGCTGACCCGTGAAAATCTACTCGCTGCGACATTTTGCGAGACAAAACGAGCACTATGGATCTGCTGCAGTGATCAAATCCAGCGAAACTGTGGAGGATTGCTTATATCGTCAAGTACGTCGTCAATAAAGGATTAGTTTTGATAGAGGCGTGTTACCTCTCATATTTTGTACCAAATTACCAACGATACGCTTCGGGACACCACAAATATAATACCATAATTTGCACATTAAATTTGGGTTATGATGTGCACGTCAAATAATATCAACAGGTAAATCGAAAAAATAATGAATAGCGCATAATGGTCATCGTAGGAACCACCCGCAGTTAAACAGTATAAATACTGGTACCGTTATATCTGCAAGATGAGGAAATCTTTAGCGAAGTTGATTGCAATTCAGGATTTGGAAAGAAATATCGATGTCTTCACTCGTTTGTTTTCTCAAGCGGTTATATAATCGGATAGTATTTTGGAAGTTCAGTGAGTTCCTAATATAGCGGAATGACCCCGGGTAGATAACAAATCATCGATAGCATACTGACGGCATAATCGTGAGCATAAGATTATTTTTTTCAAAGGATTGCAATACTTGCTACAGATCACAAGACGACTTTATATTATAATGGCATACACGACTTAACATTATAATGGCATATCTTTGATAAGGCTGCTAATATGCAAACCGGACTTTAGTTGCTATGATATTTGCTTGGCACCAGGGGATCTTACGTACTGAACCCTAAACCTTGTAGGTTTAGGCCTTTATTCGCAATTGATTCCAATATACCCGACCATCCCAAAACCATCACGTCCAATCGTTCTAGATTCTACTAAACCATCAGCATCTCACGTCGTTTTCCCTTTGCTTAGCTGGTCAGTTCTCAGCGAAAACATTTCTGCTTAGTTTTTCCCCTCAATGTCATTGCTCAGCCGCCTCACAGGCGTACCGTGGAAAACCGCGTGGAACGGTAGCTGTTTGATATGCAATATTTGATTAAGGGTAATAGGAAAGTTAAGAACAAACTAAATCGCTAACGCAATCTGACCCAATTATTAAAGCTGGGTAAAAAAAGTCAAAATGACTCCAACAATGCGCCTAAATTAGTGAAAAGGTAGAGTGGAAAAAAAATGCAATAAAAAACTGCAACTGGACAACAAGGTTAACTGCCACGGCGTCAAGACGGAAATAATGCGACAGGGTGATAAAGAAGCTGCAAGCTAAACCGGGCAGCTCTGAACTTTATTTAGGTTATATTTCATAAAATAACATAGTGTAGTATTGATGGAGTAATAGGTTAAATATTATAAATATTTTGGGCAGCACGACTTCCGGTAGCGTTGGGCATGAATATGCATAGCGAGGATCAGGTACGAAAAAGGAATGACTTTCCGCGTGATCCTAAATATTTATGGGTTAGGGTAGGCAAATACTGTTCCTCACCGCACAGCTCGAGCGGTGGTAGCCACTTGGTCTTGATGTCGATTCTAAAATGTTTAAATTATAACTTCCGGTGAAAAGCTCGATATAGAATCTATCAGTAGACAAGAAGCTAGAATTATGTGCCTCAGTAGGGCCACATTATATATGACACGAAGGTTAATGCCATCTGTACTCCATTACTCATAATGTCCGAAACTATTCCCTACACTGAGCTATATGATACCAAAAGTGGTAAAAATATTCGACAAAAATTATTGCAATAATATGATGTTTTGTGACGTAGATAATTCCATTGCCTTTTACGGCCGTTGACTGTTTTTACTTTTGGCAACTGTCTAGAAATCCAACAGGTATCATAGAACTTAGCACTAAATGTGTACGAGCTGCGTTTTCGCTGGCAGGTTTAACATGTCGTTTAGGTAAGCCCTAAGTAGACGCCCATCTATTAGAACTATATTTGCCACCCCATTTGTAGCAATATTGTATGATGAATATACACTTCTTTCAAATTAGATAATATATTTTCTTTCCACATTTCCCATCACCACTAGCAGAGCTAAGCTGACGCTCTGACTGCTTATGATATCGCAAAATTCCAAATTTGCTTGTTAGATAGAAGAAGAAAACAGACAGTTGAAAAAATAGCTAAAGCAAATACAATATATCCAATTCAGTTAATTGATGTTTCCATATATATCATCCTTAATCACTAAAAGTGCGCGTAGTGCAATGCGCAAATCGTCCGATATTTACCAAATATTATCCAAACAATTATTATAGACATAAATGGGCAAAAAGCTACTTTATAGCACTTCCCGGAAAATGAGTTGAGACACCTCGTTAGGAACAGCTGCATTGTAGGATATTATAAGTTTAGCGTATTTTTCCACGCGAAGCAGTGTCTTGCTTAGAACATTTGGGGTCAGTCACCCCGCGAAGGAATTTGAAGGGCGTCAAGGTTTAATCGTTCTGTTGTAGTCTAGCCTCCATCCGCAGCTGTTCTTGGGGACCAATTTGAAAATAATTCTATCAGTAGTGCTCTGTTTCTAGAAAACCTGTATTTTCAGAACTGTGTTGAGAGTCCTGCAGGCCTTTGACAAACCGGTACTATTAAACTTTTCTAAATACAACGCCAGTGATACCGTGAAGTTTGAACACCGCTGTTTTATCCGGTTCTATTCAACTTTTAAGGCTATCAAGCTAAAACGGATTCTCCTGGTGGAAAGGTAATGATACGAAACAGCTTTTTAAGTATAACACCTAACAGCCTAGATTGATTTTTCGACATTCAAACTGGCTAGGTAAACCTACTGCAGAACTAACAATTATTGCTAAAAGCGACCAACGAGTCATATGAGTCAAGAAGCATAAGGTTCTCTTTTTCAATAATTATCTGTTATGGTGCAGAAAAATAAGGTGGATTTCATGTCAAAAATGCTGGCAGCACTTAGCAGCAAGGACAATTTTTTAACGAATAGGAAGTGATAACTTCAATGTGTATATAGCTTAAATGATACTTCAAAACATAGTAAATAAAATCTATTATAGAATAAAAATAAATGGTCAGCTTTGAACGATACTCCGTGTGTTTGATTTATGCAGCAGACGTTATGCTGGTTCTATAAGATGGAACAATCGATATATATTAAACATTAAGCAAGCAAAAATTATACCCGTCATAGAATGCCTGATGAAAAAGACATGTACGTATATAGCAGGTATGAGCTTGCAGAACAGGCAAGCGTTGGCCTTATACGAAGTCATTTTGTGCATTCATGTTTTGATAGCCCAGTCAGTTACATTCTGTTTGATTTACTTGTTTCTGCGATAAGTAAATAGTTCGCTGTCGACCAGCTCAGTGAGTGAAAGACGTCCTCTAGCTGGTTACAAACGAGGTTCAGTAATAGTGCTTAGTGAATAGGTTGTATATTGAGGGACGATTTTTATTCAATGATGACTTTACATTCCATATGAGGCCATCTTGAAATGACCGTACAGTAACTTCGCTATTCTGTAATACTTGATAAGTAAGTACGAATTAAATCAGTAATCAAACATGTATATATATGTATATACACATGCGAAATTTATTTACGAAAATATATACAGATGGGATCTTGGTCATTCCTTCGCCGACCCGACAAAATGACCACTGTACATTAGGAAAATCATACATTGCATTCGACAGACGAAAATTCTCTTCGAATACTGGCTGTTTACGATGGCGATGAATAATGATGCCTAAAAGTGACACGTAAGTCCTTCGATTTCCGCAAGGTCAAGTTGGATTTGGTGAACTGTAGTACCTATTTTCCGTGCGACTTCTGCCTTCTCGTTGAAATTCAAGTCCTGAAGTAGGAAAAATAATGAGACGAATTATTATAATCAAAATACCAGCAACTAGAAACAATGAATATCAAACCAGATCTCTAATACTTTAGTGAACCAAACCGAATGCCGTTTGCCTTCTAAGTGATATATATATGGACCTCTGCTTTCGTTTAGTTTGGGTTCAAGCGCATAATTGGAGCCTATCTGACGTTTACATTATGTAGTATAATTACAAACCATAAAGTCGTTGATTAGATCGCCATCAATCACATTCTTCTGTGGATTCGTTAATTCCTTGAATTCACTTTGCATAAGACGGAAACCTCTTGGATTGAGGCCGGCTACGTGACTTGCATACGAGTTGAGAACATTCTGTAACATTAATAAACGTCTATATGTCTTCTCTGCAATCGGTAACAGGTAGCCAAGGGAACCATCGAGGGATGCTGAAGAAGGAACGAAATTCAAAAGAAACAAAGATTATCAGTCAAATCAGCACTTACTCTATTTAGTATTACCAATGACCGCTTTCATTCAAAGTCCATTACAAAGTAACGTGTTCCTGTTAGATATTTCGATATAGCTATAAGCATCTGGAGCAAAGTTATAAATACTGTGGTTGTTATATAGGCAATATTTAACATAAGCCTCTTGTACAAAGACAAAAGTAGATATTTTCCACTTTCTAACAGATCTACTAGTTGCTCGTAGCATAAACACATTCAGCCGTTTCTGGGCCAATTCCTATCTGAATGCTTCTTGTAATGGCATATGTTTCGCCTGAGCGTACAACGTGCTATTAGGAAAATCTATATAATTTACGAACCATAAACAGTGACATGCCGCGTCTCCACCATGCTCAGCAGTCTTCTTTCGCTTCGAGGAATATCGGCTAACCGACATCGGATCCGAAACATCGAGTTCACCCTAGAGCCAATATTGAAATCTCCTCTACGCACCAATCGCTGCCCACCAAGTGTTTCGCGATTTTCTGGCTGGTACATATACACCATTAAGTTACTCAATGAATCGCTTACCAGGAAAGCCATTTGAGAGCTGTCGATGAGGTACTCGACTGCATATACTTGCAGTGGCTTGGTGTCCTTAGAGACAACGGCAAATGTCTTCGATTCTTCCTGGTAGCGCAACAACGTGATGCTCTTGTACACGTCACCAATGAGAATGAAGCTCTTGAGTGAGATGGCGGTCAGAATGTACACTTGAGTGTCAAGAAAAGCCATTCCGACAAGGTCGTTGTCCTTGAGTTGAAATAGAAATAGCTTCTGACCTACGGCAGCCATAAGGTGACCTTTAACAGAGCACAACGCCGTAACTGGTGCGTTTTGTGATTTCGAGAGTATCGTCTTAACTTTACTACGGGTGAGCGGTTGTCCCGGTTCAGGCACAACCTCAATGATATCAAGGAGTATGATTCGTCCTTTTGCAGTGCAATCCTCACCGTAATTATAGATGGTACCCACGGCAAGAAGACCTTTCTCGCCGCTTGTCGTGCCTTCTGACGCAATCATAACATTTTTCACACACATCACTTTCTCCCATTCATCCATGTCCATTCGTGTTTTTGGAATACTTTCCCACGACACGGGCGACCACAGCTCGAGCGTGAAGCGATCTACTGTCGGGGCTATGAAGCGACCGCCTTCACGTATAATTGGTTCAAATTCTTTATCTTCACCTGCCAATCTGGGAAGCGTCGTAGCCTTCTTTTGAGTACTTGTCACGACACAGTACGTTCTTGAGTCGACGTGATAGTTAATGAAATGCGGTGTACATTTTAATGGAACTTTACGTGTCGGCCAGGGTGCATCGTACGACAGATGTGTAGGTAAAGTACAAATGCGCAGTTCGCCGTACTTGTTAAAGAACAGGAACCCTTTTGAACAGTTTACGTTGTGGAACGTCGCGAACGAATAGATTCGCCCGTCACCTAACATTGGATGAGCTCGCAGCTCCCCCCTAGCTGTCATGAAAACCCAATAGGGCCGTCTTCCACACACAAATACTCCATTATAGCCGCTAACGTCGTGAAAAGGTCTAATCCAGCGGAGCGTCAATGTTGGATCATTCTCTTTTTGTTTGTACACCCGACGAGGTTCCATATTTACAGCATGAGGTAAGCGACGAAATTGGATCTTCAAATGGCCTTCCTTTTGCTTTTCGTAGAACGGATATACTTCATAAATGTGCAGGTCAGAGTCAATGCGAGCAAACAACAACGGCCGCGAACTGTGCATACCTAATGCGCACATGAAAATTTCCATGACTTTCGGAAGCTGAACGTCGGCAACAGTTGAAGTTGCCTGACCTAGCAGCGACGCATTCTGGAGGACTTTGTTCGCTAGCGGGAAGTTTTTGACAAAGTAACAGAGCTTATAATCGGGTAGTGAGTATATTTCTAAGGCCCCATTTTCCCTAGCTAGGAAAACCCAATACGTCGGATCAGCGGGCGCTATCGTTCGGATGTTCTCTTCAGCTTCGTCATCCCCTAGCTCGTCTTTCCCTTGAGCAGATGGAACGATATGTGCCCCACTTAAGCCTCCAGCTACAAGGTCTTTGATGTCAACAGAGCTTCCATAAAGAAGTTCATCCTCGTCGCCGAAGTCGGCACTTGTTTCGACCTTTTTCTCCTCCGCAACCTTCACCTTGTTCCGTGAATTTTTCTTTGGCTTGTGCATGTCTTCCAATTTCAGATTTTTTGTGACGAATAACCCAGAAATGTCCTTGTAAATACAGTGAGCCGTAATCTTTGATTTGGCACCAGGAAACTGAGGTTTCAACACAGATAGCTTGTACCTAGAACAATAATTTAAAGAGGATACAAATACCGAAAAACGATGATCATTCAACTGGAAAGAAACACAACTGCGTTTATGTGAAAGTTGGAACCAATAAAAAGGATACTAAGCCATAAATACATCAATCTTGAAGCCAAATTTACGGCAACAGAACAGTTAAAAAAATACACAGGTAGTTGTAGGAATGCAGCTTGTTTAAAGAACGCATAATTTAGATAAAGCTCCTGACTGACCTTTGAAATTTTCGCTGAATTTCGACTGAAAAATTTTCGCCAAATATAACTAAATACAATATTATTAAGGAAATTGTTATTTTTACCCCCGAGAATCATCTCCTCGTAGAGTCAAGTGGATGACAAGTCCATCTGCGGACATAACAAGTATATGAGGGTCCGCGAGTGAAGCGGCTACCAGGGGACTTCCAACATCAATGGGGACCTGCTGTAATTGACGTGTCCCTTCGAGGAGCCGCACACTTCCAGGGCACACCTGTATCACATATCGGCCATCCGCTAGATTGCCAGCGAATATTGTCGGAGACTGTGTGCAGAATCCGCTATGATCAAGTTCGTTGATTTCTTGGCCTGTTTGGAGAATCTATTCAAAGGATGACATGGCAATGTTATTTCATGCCGATATAAGGATTTACCATTTTTATTTTCACAACTTACATTTGATTCACTAAAAATACAACCAAAAACTAGCTGATCATGCATAGATGAAATCAAATATAACCTCTGTCATTTTCTTAACTCATTATTAACAGAGCAAATTAAGTAATAATAATATCGAGGATAATAATAATGAGGAGCACTTTGGATGGCGTTAGCTTACCATTGTAGAATCGCTTCTTGACAAGATGAGAAATTGATGTGCACCCTCATCTGAGTCCGCTGACCGTGTGGTTGAACTACAAACTGTCCAAAGATCGGCGCAGCCAGGCAACTCGAAGGTCGTAATTACCTGCGGCTTTATTGTCCTTTGGAGGACGCAGAGAGCACCATTTCGGCCATGACCTGAGACGGTAGCAATCTCCACATCGGTATCTGTTTTATTCGAGAGCCCACTCTGGAAGGCAGGCTCACCCATTGCCATACGGATGATCGGTCCAATATTCTGAAGGGCATCCGCCATTTCGAATTTGTAAAGCTTCGTGTTTTGAGGCTCATCACTGCTCTGGCCATACACTTTGAGTTCAAATGCGTCTTCAATAAAGTCGACGTTCGATGCAGCCCATTCGTCAATATTGTCTGAACCAATTTTTTGCTTCTTTGCAGCCGGTTCGTCATCATAGTCTTCGTTATTACGTGCGTTCTCATTAGCTTTATCATTATTACTGTTCTCAATGACTGGCGCCGTACGATCTCTGTGCTCATCTTCTGTAGGATTCATCCGGCCTCTGCTTTCTTCAGCGACGCCATCGTCAGTCATTCCGTCAGAAGCGGGAGCATTGCCCTGTTCTCCGTCACCGTTACTACTCTCACTAATCTCTACCTTCGAGGTCTCAGGTTCATCTCTTTCGGGCTCCTCTCCCTCGACTTTATCGGTTTCAGTGTACCTGAGAAGCAACGAATTGCCTAACCTCGAACCAAGAAACAAGTAACCCGGTTCACACAATGTGAGGCACGTGGTGAGCACGGAAGAAGCTGCCTGATTGAAGATGAATTTACAAATCGACCTCATGCCATCGGTAAATAAGGTAAGCACAAATATGTCACCGTTCTTGAGACTAAAAACAATGCGGTCATCGGCGAGAAACTCACAGCGGCAGGCATCTAATACGATACGAATTCCAGGTTGTTGTTTTAGCGGAAACGCTGTGCTAACTTCCGTAAACGAATTCAACGACACGCCGTATGGCGGCACAGACTGGTTGAGATAGAGAAGGGCGTTCACTGATACGATTAGGACGCCCCCAATTGGTTTGGGAACAGGGAGTACCTTGAACGAGTTGTAAGGTAAATTGCAGTAGGACCATACCGGCGGATGGACGCGCTGGTAAACGTTGAGAGATAGCGCCATAATTGCGCAAGTGTCCTGTCGAATAGCAACGCGCCTGTGACACAAGATAGACCATAAAGAAATAGCATGAACGACAGATCTTTTTGCTGAAAGATCTGTAGCATAACTATGACGCGTTTAAGAAACGAAACATCTACTCTGCTTAGAATGTTACTGATGATAAGTGTTGGGCATTCTGCTTCAAGAACATGATTAGGTAGCATAGCTCCGATTACTTACCCTGCCCAGGTGGCAACGGGCTCGTAGAGCAGCAACAGTGTGGGCTCATAATATCCATCAAGAAAAGCCATATCGTGCACATTGTTTACACCTTTTTCTTCATCTAGTTCACGAAGTCGAATGGTGTAAAAATCAAGCTGACCACTGATGTTGGTGTTAGACTGGCCGCCGTGTCCCAACTGGGACCCTTGCCTGCCTAAGGACGGAGGGACATCGGCAAGATCAGCTAACCCTGAGTCTCGTTTGACAAAGGGTATAATCGCGAGCTGTTTACCATATACGAGCACCGCAGCGCACCGATTTAACGGATCCACTTTGATGAGAGGAACACTCACCATCTGCTCAAAGCCATCCTAAAAAGAAAGGAAAAGAACCATAGATTCTATAAAATCAACGAGATGAACATCTACTGACTTGTAACCATATATAAGCATCCTGCTTGCTAAAAAGTTCAAAACATGTCTGACGGTAGAAGCTATATATATGGTGAATATTTTCACTTGTTAAAGTTACGCACTTTGTACTCGTCCTTTTCAAGGCTACGCAACGCTAGCGTTTTCAGTTCGTGATTGAAGGGGTCGTATTCAACGAGACTGACTTTTGATTCACGAAATACCAGCAGAAGCGAATCCCTGTTCTGTGACAACTTAATACGCTCCATGCCTGCGACGACTCCAAAGCAGTTAAACGTTTGTAGATGTTCCAATTTAGCCAGAGATTCCGTAAAGCTTTTATCGACGGCCTTTTTCTTGCAGGAGCTTGCATTGCCCGACGTTACGCCGTCATACACCAAGCGATATACCTAAATAGGAAAAATACAGAAGCATACTTTTTTCAAAGCCGTACGCTGATACCAGCTTTTTGTTTCTTGCACCTCACGTCTCTTCGTATATAACTACTGAAAAGCTAATTTTTTTTATTAATAAGATTATTACGAAACACTCGATTGACAACTATGATGCGGATGACGGCAGCGAGCACCCGCAGCAATAATGAAGATAAATGTACCTTGAGGACGGACCCACCAGCAATGACCAGATTCTTCTCGTGGGGCCCGTAGAACTGACAGTATACGGAGTACTCCACCCCGGTCGGAGGATGCGTTTGGCGATGGAAGGCAAACAGGGAACTGGACAATTTGACGTCGTACTGACCCGCGGCAGTGGTCATCTGAATTCCGCAAGAAATAACAGACATCGAACCAAGCGCACATTAGACAAATGCAATTAAGTGAATTCCCGCCACCGAGGGTTTCGAAGAGCTTACACTGTTCCTCAACAGCAGTCTTAAGCTACGACCAGAAAACAGCAGCTCATTGCAAAAAAAAGGGCCAGCAAATTAATTACTTGTAGGTCATATAATTGGCCGCTATATTAAGCGGTTAAGATAAAGAAGCTCTGTTCCATGTCAAGTGTAGAAAATATATAAAACGGTACTTTCAACTTCAGTTACCCATTGACCCAATGCTGCGACAGTACTGGCGACTGTATTGATCGAAGTCGGTGTTTGAAACTTATCTTCAACCGCAGAAAGTATAGCATTTCATGTTTACAGTCAAGTAGTTTTCAATATTATAAATAATGTACTTAGGCTCGCTTCTATATAAAGGCGTTCTTTCCATCATTTGAAAAACGCTCCACTCGAATCTTCTATAGGATGCTTTTCTAACAACAGATAGGCAGTTTTCCCTACATGTATATTGTCACGTGCAAGTGCAAAAATTCAAATAAACTTTTCTATTTATTTGTATCCAGTAACGGCGACCTTAAACATCCCACTGGTTTCTTTCAGTCATGGAAAAACATTAAATATCAATAATTACGCACATTTCGTCACAAACACTTTATAGGTGCATCGATAGGCATGTTTTTATACCTTGGCGTTCTATAGTTGTCCCGCCGCGTATTCGCTATAGACAAATCGTTGCAGAAGAATGGCCGTCGGTAATTTGACAGCCAGTGAAAGGGCCAAGAAAAAGTGGGATTGCATCAATTCACTGTCATGAAATAGCGGGCAGAAAGAATGTTATTGGAGCGAAGGAGTTCATCAATCACGATTTCCGAATGTTTCGGAGAGAGCCGGCAAAATTTAGCAGCGGTGGACATGAAGCAGGCGATCAGCGCTCCACCGAGTAAATAAACACTGGAGGTGACCAGCGGCAGACAGATTTAGATGACGGCTCCTCCCTAAGTATCTGACATATATTATATGCATTATCATGACATGACTGCTAGGAAGAATTTATTGGGTTAAAGTTATGTAACCTAGTAAACGCATGTGTATACTCTTTCAGGAGTACGCATATAGGAAAAATACCGTTCCCGAAACGCTGACGTTGTGTTTAGTTGTCCGAATGTTTGCATCTTCTACCAGACTCGCACCTAAGACGCGGACCAAGATTGGACCCGCTCCGAATATTTGTTGCCATTTGATGAGATCCCAAGTCTTTTTCTGTAATTAACCGTGCACAGGGAGTGACTGGCAGCTTTGGTTTTTTGTGTGCGACGGCTGAAAACGAGAGTTGTGTGTGTGTGTATATTTTTGACAGTTTTGTAAACCTTTGGAAATATGGCAGCGGTCGCAACCTCTACGAGCGCTCAGGAAAATCTTCCGAAGGTGAGGAAACGTAACTAGGACTGAAACTTTAGGTCCTACAATGCTATTGCTTAAGTTCATTTCAATCACACACGTTCAGTGTGTTGGTGGCTGTCTGATGTTCTCATTCCGGAAGAGTCGTTTATCCTATTAAAACCTACTAAGGTTCAATAAACATGTTTGCGAACACCAACCGTGGTCGGAATGTATACTTTAAACTGTTTTTGACATCAATGATTTTTCTGAGTTTTTTTTTGCATAAATTAGATAACTTTTTCTCATTTTTAAAACATGTGCGTTGGGATCGTGTAGTATAATGCAACATACGCATTGAGCTACAGTTAAATTTAAACACTGATCGAGTGAAAAATTTAGTCTTTAACAGTAACAAGGATTTTGTTCGGACCGGCAGAATCGCAGTATAGTTACTCATGGGTTGCTAAATAGATAGCTGAAACGGATTTTCTATTCGTTCGAAACTTACAGCCCTGATTGTTTTAAACTTGTGTTAGCCATCTGGTCTTATGTGGAACAAAAGCTATCTTATTCGTATTTTGCTAACGATGTGTTGTGCATTTGATGAGCTATGACAGTTTTACCTTTCCTCTGCTTAAACCACAATTTGCAGTAAGATCTATATAGATTGTTGTCAGACAAAATGTATTAAGTAAAATATAAATATAAAATTAGTCACATTGTTTCATTGATGTTTAGATTCTAGTGAAAAGCCGTGTTAGTAGTGCTACGTTGTAATTAAATAGTCACACATTTATTAACGTCTAGATTTCCGCCAGTAAATTGTTTATTTTTACCTATGTACTGTTTTATCAAGGCTCAATTACAAATGATGTAATATTTAATGCCAAAACGCTTCAATATTTTTATTAATTAATTTAATGATTAATTATTATTTTACTAATTCATTTAGTTTTTACCAAATAGCGGATGCTGTTGGTCTTACCGGCAAAGGCGTCATCTCACTGTGTATATGTATAATAAAAAAGATAATTTATTTGTCCAAAAAAGCATCACTCTCCTTTAACTAATCAAATCCGCTAGTCGACGAATGATTTGTATTGAACTAAGCAGCCATGGCAATATCTACATGAACGCCTTCGATACATTACATACTTATATAATCGAGTCATTGAATTTGATTATTGTCGAACTTGATTCTTATAGTACATGTGCTTCAAACATGAATTCGTTAATTGCTCAAATTTTACCGATGTTAAAAATTCATTTTATCTATAGATCAAGAAAGGAAACATTAACGACGGCTTATAACTATATGTGGCTTATTTGTTTAATGAATATGTTTAAGAGGCAACAAATATTATAAAACTATAAATAAATAAATTGGTAAAAACAAAATAATGCAAATATGCAATTATAACAAATGTAATTTTTAATGTTACCTTTTGTAATGTTAATTCGTGTAATTTAATGTTGCCTCAATTTAATGCTAAACCATTAAGGATAATGCTTCGGAGAACGATTGTTATGTGGCGCAGAATAACAACGGTTCAGAATATACTGCAGATCCTCTAAAGACTGTTTGTCTTTATAAGATCGGGCATTATTGACTAGGTTATGTGCGTATGATGAAAAGAATATAACCTTAATGAATGTATAATGAAATATTGAGGCTAATGCGCCTAAAAGACGCTTAGCCGCGATACTCAACCTGACTAACTGAGTCTTTTTGTCATTTATATTGTTGCCTGTGTTTGTCAGCCGGCTACTCATGAGCTGCTAGTATCAAAAGTAATCGTCCACCCATTGGTTCTTTTGTCGGTCGTAGATCACTTTAATCGCATGGGCAAGATTGGAAATCAGAAGAGAGTGGTCGGAGTTCTCCTTGGCTCGCTGAAAGAAAAGGGAATCCTCGATATTTCAAACAGCTTTGCCGGTATAAATGAATTCAGATCTATATAAGATGTTTATATAAGATATATATAATCTCTATTATTATCAATACCAAACGTTCTTACTTTTTGTGCTTGCAGTTAATTTCAAATTGCCGGAGACTGTCTATTCACGTTTTCTACTATTTTCTACGCTGCCAATGCTAACTTGCTGTAAAATGATCGCATTATAATATTTTAACACATCCGCTGAGTGGTTAAGACGCGTATTCTTGAGTACCTCACCATGATAAAAATGAACATGCGGCCATCGTTAGCTCAAAATGATTACCGTGGCATATTGTTACCATGCCGTTTCATTGGTCTGGCAAAGGAAACTTCACATAAGTTTCTTGATAAAAATATTGAAAAACTTGTGGACTAGTGTTATTACATTTTGCAATCAATAAAAATAATTTGGATTGGATAGACATGTTAACCCATTTGAACTAATCTGTTATGCTAAAGTCATTATATACTGTCTTCATTTTTCTATAATTTAACTCAGTTCCCTTTGATGAGGATGAACGCGACAAATCAGTATGGTTCCTCGATCACGACTACCTCGAAAACATGTTCGCCATGTTTAAAAAGGTGAACGCTCGCGAACGTATTGTTGGGTGGTATCACACGGGACCAAAACTGCATCAGAATGATGTGGCGATCAACGAACTGGTACGCCGCTACTGCCCATTATCAGTGTTAGTTATCATTGGAGCGAAACCAAAAGATCTCGGATTGCCGACCGAGGCGTACATCTCCGTCGAAGAAGTCCATGATGTGAGTTAGCCCAGTTTAAAACCTACTCAATTCGCCACTGAACTTCCAGTGACTGTGTTTCCTGACAATGTCACAAATTGTCATCGTCTATTTATGCTTTTTTTTTTCGTCTCTTTGCGTCTTATATGCGTCATTTGTTATTATGAATTAAATGCTACATAGATTCGTTCACGAACGATGGTCTTCAAATGCTTATTACTGAACCTTAGTGTGTGTTTCTACAAATATATGTGTCCCCTTATGTATCTACCCTAAGAAACATTCTGCGCTTCTCGTTTCAGGATGGAACGCCGACCTCGAAGACGTTTGAGCATGTGCCGAGCGAGATCGGTGCCGAAGAGGCCGAAGAAGTTGGGGTAGAACATCTTCTCAGAGATATCAAGGACACAACAGTTGGTACCCTCAGTCAACGCATTACTAGCCAATTGATGGGTTTGAAAGGTTTACATCAACAGATTGACGACATTCGTTCGTATCTCGACCATGTAGTATCCGGTCAGTTGCCCGTAAACCACACGATTATTTACCAGCTTCAGGACATTTTTAACCTACTGCCTGACGTGTCGACAAATGAGTTCGTTAAAAGCCTGTATGTCAAAACTAACGACCAGATGCTCGTCGTCTACCTCGCCTCTATGGTATGTATCAAGTTCGCGCAAGACGCGTGAACAGCCATGCTGCAAAAGTTTACTTTCCCACCCAGATATCATAGGTGCATATTCTATCAATAGTAAATTATTCAAGTATATTTATTATAGGTTAGGATTTAGCTGCTAGCGATATTTAAGTGAAATAAATTCGCATTATTGTTAAACCCATACAATAAATAAGTTTTATGCCTTTTTACGAATTTATGCTTAATTAAATAGGTGTATAGGTGCAACTCTCTTAGAAGTAACCACAAGGCCCTCCAGCGTTTGTGAGAATAATATTCTTATGACTGTAAATTTAATTTAATCTTGTTTGCTCTTGTTTTCTTAGGTTCGATCCGTCATCGCACTACACAATCTTATTAACAACAAGATTACAAACCGGGACGCTGAGAAAGAGGGTGAAAAGGTTACATCGCCAAAACGGGATGAGTCGAAAGATGGAAAGGACGCTAAGGGGGACGGTATCGGAAAAGACTCGAAGGACATGAAGAAAGATGAGGCTACTGGCAGGGGCAAAGAGGAGGCGACAAAGAAGAAATTACAATAGCTATTATCATTTAATTTTGGAGGCCAAAAAGTGGGTAAACGACTGAGTGACTGCTTCGTTACTAAACACTGGTAACACAAGCAAACACCGTAATGGTTGTCTGTGTGGGCGGGGAAGAATCATGCGTTCGCTGTACGCAGATATTTATGAATATAAAGAGACCCTGTATATAACGAAAGTGAGTTGTCTTTCTTCGTCTGATTTATTCTCTGTCTCAAGATTTTTGGCTACTTTTACACAAAAGTGTTAATATGACAATCGATACCACTCTATTTACACTTGTTTAAAGAATTGATAGACACGTTCTGTTGCTTGACGGCACTCATCATCTCTAGCATCATATATGCCAGTTGAAGTTAACTGTGCAAGTTAACTGTGCAGAAGGCACTGCAGAATCATAGATAATTTTATTTGTAGACAGTTGTCATACTACCATGTTGTTGTTCAAAATAAGGAGATCAAAATGCTTTGTTTTGGATTTTAGGGTGTCAATGAAAGTATTTGAAGATACATTGGACGGATCTCGATGGGAGAGACCGTTTGGTGGACAAGCATATAACGAATCACTATCCTTTTTATAATTTCTTTGTTTATATGGACAAATATTGATTGATAAAAAGTTCATTTATGCATCTAAAAGGTTTGATTTGGCTCCCTATTACACAAGAGTGATTGAGGTGTTTCAATACCACCACACCGTTTTACGAATTTTGTCTTATAAAAGCAATATTTTCATTTTGATTTATAGTAATAAACGTTCCGTGAGTTCGATGGCCCTATAAATACATTTGGGTAAATGCCAAGAATATCTATTCTTATGTGTTAACTTCCGTAATGACGCTGAAATTCAGTACACATGGATACACGTTTATCCAATAACATTTATTTGAAATTATTGGAGAAAGCCGTGTTTCTTGTCTCTATAGCTGTGCTCCATTTAGACAATTGCTGCAATAATACTATCGATCATTTAAATGCATAGCAATAACATTCAAAGATATTGGTTCATTATAGTCGAGAATGTTGTGAACATAATTTTGACAACAACAGGTTATAGCACGTGGCAAGCATATACGTTACATATGACACCTTAATGGTTATTTTTAACAAACATTCTGCGTCTGTCCTCCGAAATAGAGAATTTGCATTAAAGGATAAGGCAGTAGGGGCTCGGTCAGTGTTGTCGAATTATGATAAGCTTAAATGACAAGTTCGGTTTTGCCCTCCTTTGTAACAAGTTGCACGAGCGAGCCGCTAGCTGGTCGCTTAGCGGTATCGCTGGCCCAGCCGACAAACAGATCTGCAACGAACTCCAGCGGAGTCCACGTAGAGGTATCCGCCTTCGGCATCCATTTACGGTTCATTGGAGTGTCTAAAGTCACAGGTAAAATAGCGACACACGTCGCTCCATCGGGAAGGCCGCTTTTTGGCGCAGCAAGCGATGATACGAGATGATGAACGGCCGCCTTAGCCATTCCATAGCCTGATCAGAAAAAAAGATGAGTCGAGCAAATGTTCCGTTATCAATTTGGCGGATTTTTCATTCGAAATAAAATCTGTATTCAACGAATTATCACTTCTAAGTTGATGAGTACATGTAAGGTAGATGCGAAAGAAACGCAAACAACGTTTTACCCGAAAATAGGTAACCTCGAACTTCAATTTTCAAGTGAGTGCTGGATAGTTATCCACGACTTTTAATAATAATGAATTGCAGTGTAGCATTGTAGAACCAAAAATTGCCGATAGAAACGCAATTATAATTACCAATCATGCCAGGTGTAGCACTAAGACTGGCTTGTGCCCCGGTGAGAGCGCAAACTCCACCTTGTTTGAGATGTTTTGCTGACAGCGACGCTGCGATCAACGATGTCCATACACTCTGTTTCAGCATCAGGTCACTGTTCTTAATAAACTCTGTAGATAGGAGCCGTAATAAAAGCTTTTTGACACTGATGCTTAAACTCGACAGCTATTACTATAGAATCGCACATTTGATTGAATTTGCCAAATACTTGGATTAGTCTTTCGAGTTTCAGATTTCTCATAAATAAAAACGTATAAGAGAGCGCTTTAGATTCGGATGTGCATAAATGAAATTACGAAAGTTAATCCAACGGGCAAGTTCTTCACTAACAGAGGTAGATACTCTTTCCATAGAAGTTACAGGAAAACATGCAAACCTTTATTGGTGGCATTTCCACCAGCCCAGCCGCCAGCGACACAGATTACAGCATCGAGTTTTTCTCCTCCGAGCTTCGTCGTGAGCTCTGAGCTAATTTGTTCATGCTGAGACTGAAGATCTTTTGTGAAGTCGACCACAATATTTTCATTAGCCGTGTCATTGACCGAGCCATCAATCGAACAGACCCACTGAGACAGGGAACAAAAGAAATGAGAGGTTAAGTTGAACAGTAAAAGTTGAAAATTTTTCAATAAAGCCGCCCGAAGATAAATGGCTTAATAACAGATATGTGTTAAAGAAAATATTTGTGCATCTGAAGTACCCGAACGATGGTTAGATTAGTGACTTCCAAAATGAATTACTCTAACAGATCTGCTGTAAAATATATTGGACCATATAACGCTAGTACAAAACTATTTTTCACGCGCATTCATTAGTAGAATAAAGTATTGCGAGAAAATATTGTTGAACAGAAGGGTAATGCATTTCTTCATCTGGAACGGAACCCTATAAAGGTAAGCAACTGAGAAACTTACGAAGTTTTTGCTCTTGAAAATGTGTGTACAAACTGAGCCAAGAGCTCCTTTTCCTCCGTAAATAACCACGCGGCCGGCCATTTTCTAGAGAAAGAAATAAAACGCAAATTTTGGATATACGTTGTACACATTCAGATAAAGTATGTCTATTGTGCATATTGTCTACCTCTGCGTGCAGTCCGGTTGCAAAACACTGGAAAACACATGCGACAAACCGTATAAGGCGGTATAGGCAAATATGCTAGATTAAGGCAATATAACGAGACCCGCGAATTGGCATGGAACAAGATTGTTAAAAATGCTGAACTTTAGGGTTTCCGGAAGTAGAATTCTAATTGCAACAAGTATATACGTTAGACAGTGTGTGATCTACGCAAATACAAAAATACTGTCCATCTGAAATATTGCGCCTTCAAAACACAAGTAATTCTGCTGCTGAAGTTTCGGCATACATATATGTATGATTTTTGCTTACAGTTCGTCTAGTCAATAAATATAGAACTCTTTGGTAAAACTCACTATGAGGCAGGAATAGTAAACTTACTGCTGATAATCGACAAACTATGGGGGATATAAGTTATCCGTTTTAACAACTGAAAAACATGGAATCATTGTTATTATGACGGCTTGTTAATTTGTACCCTAGAACTATCAAGAGACTTCTCATAATGAGGAGAATCAGGTTCTTCCTATCGTTGTGTTCGTTCGTACCTACAAAACACTCGCTGCTGGAGCGTGATTTACGGTGACTTCGCGAATGACGAAATGAACCGATTGACCCAAATCACTGGTTCCGAGACAATTTTCCGTAAATGTATGTGAGAAAACGCCCCATATATACAGAACGTTCTGTACACCACATTGTCTTAGCCCGGCAGATTTGTTTTTGGCCGTTGTTATCAAGCTGATCAATGCACCTAGTAATCTACAGGTCCTTCACGCCTTTTGTCGAGTCTTACTTGTTTGCAAGTACAATAACAAATTTTGTCTCTTAAAACAGCGAAAGGAGTTTTCCGTGATTTGAAGAAATAGAAAGTGAGCACAAAAAAAGCCGTTGCCGTCGTAGTCTCAAATAATGACGTAAAATAATGAATAAAACGCGTTTACTAAACCAATAATGTGGCCACAACTTCAAATCGTAACACACATGTTAAGTTTTTTTTACATAATTATAAATTAGCCAATCTAAAACTTTGTCATGAGAAAATGCATCAACGAATAAAATTTAAAAATTTATCAGGAAGTAGAAGCTTCTGTTTAAGGTAAAGTATTACCTTTTAAAGCGAAGTTTTCCAAAAGGTATACAACATTTTTAAAACTTAATTTTTTTTAATTGCATTTAGAAACTATCGACAAGAAAAATAAGCAATTTAAACTATTCACAGAACTTTCGTAGTGTTTATGTGTCGTTGGCGAGATTTCGACCGAATAGAAACTGTGTTCTCGAATACCAGGTCTCAATAAAATTATAAGTCGTATAAATTATAATAAAATTATAAGAATGTTATATGATAAAAAGTCAGAGCAAAGACACTTTAAAAGGTGTTAAATCGTAGCGAATCTTCAATATGTTAGACAAAGCTAATTTAAGTATTTTTTGCTTCAAAATAAACATCACGATTTGAATATGTGTTTATAAGAGAATAATAAAAATAAATTCCTTGGAGAGTTGCTTTGAAACGGTCAAACTTTGATTAATCTCCTATAGGATTATATGACCTTATGAACATTGTAGATTATGTGAGCATTATGCTTAGAGTACTACATCGAAGAACGAGTCAACATAATCTCTTTTACGGAATCTCGTAGGTATCTCGTTCTTGCTGTGACCTTGAGTTCGAATCGTGTTAAACATACATCGCTATCAATTGAAAATTTGTATGGTATATAAAGCTTAAATTGTTTTCTTTTTGATAAGTACTTTTCAATTACAATACTTTTACATTCCTTTCTTGATTTTGTAGCCACTTATCTATAACCTCATAAGTTTATGTTACACTTCCTGCCGCGCAGTCAAAGTCTTAAATCCGATATAGTACCCCTGAGCAACCTTAATACATTAGATATATTTTTATAAAAACGTCCCCAAGACCGACATATTATATTATATATACATTCGGGACTAAACGAAACATAAGAGTCTCAGCGATTGACAGCTTAATACATATCCTCATTAGCAACGAATAGTGGACATTTTCTAGAAGAAGATGCATTAAGTCGAACTTAGAGCAACAGGTTTTCGTTTACAATTCGCAATTGACGCTCAAAAATCACAAAGTTGAGATTTTTTTTAATTTCAATTAAATTCGTAAAGCCAAATTTGCTGAGTGCAGATTCACGTTAGTCCATACCCTCTACTAATACTAATAACAGTAATAAACTTTATTATTGTTATTACTTATAGATTTTGATTGAAGCCATATTTTCTCAACCAAAAAAATTCATTTGCTTGTACATAGAGAACACAAGCGAAGGAAGCTGCATTTCTACAATAGGTGACCCGTTTCCTACAGCACCTACTTTATCAAGCTTTAGGATTGGTAAAGCAAATAAACGGTACCATTCAGAGCTACACTTGTACCTTTATTTTCCTATAAAATTCTATTGTATCCGTCTTTGGATTTACCTGAGTCATGGCACTGGTTAGCTAACACCAATTTGTTCACTGGTACGAGACACGGTAATCTGTTTTCTTTCTGGTGTTTGCCACTACCTCTAAATGTCGATTCTGTCTATTAACTGCACCTGCGTTTGTGATACTGGAGGGTGGATGCCAGTGGCGGCGCTGCGAGGGCAAGGCTTAGGCAACCTGACCCGTTCGAGGGATCTAGGGAGCTTCATTCGCCACTTAGCTATCCCTGGTTCAGCCAAAAAAGAGAGGGCGCTTTCGTTCTCCATAGATAATGCAGAGAGTAGTTCTAACGAAGGAATGGAAAGCACGAATTTGCTTCTTGTCAATAATAATGAAAAATGTCACCGGACAATATTAGGTTGAATATAAAGTGGGTTCATAAAAAACAGCTAGTAAACTGGGTTTCAACTAGGAAAGGTAAGGATCGATTCTACAGTTGGGTTTGCAGCTTTCAGTCCTATTTGACGTCGTATGCACAGATTCGAGGATCAAATGCATATCGCACTGCGCCCGTTTCTGCCTATCGCAGCAGTTAATTTTTTTCTTATTATTTATCTCTTAAAAAAACAAGTAGTATATTTGTGCCATAGACGGGTTTACCAATGACTCATCTACTAAAACCTCCTAATCGAGGTAGAGGTGAGCGATATAATAATCGAAGTGTAAGTTTTGCAGCGCAGAAACCCGCAATCTAGTAATGCACAACGGTTGATTTTTTCTCTCTCTGGGTACTACCATTGCCGTTAAATAACTCTTTCTTCCTTCACTTTACGCCAACGTGATGTTCACTGAGGATCCACATAGGCTGCTAAAGTGTGCCTTGGCTACCACTTCCGAACCCACTGATTTCCTGCGCTTGATTTTGATTTAATTGATTCATGATCTCGTTTTGTTCTTGCTTGCACATAGTGAATCCTATACAAAGAGACCTACAATTTTAAACATTTGGCTTATACAGGCTAAACTAAATGCAAATTAATTATTCATCCTTTAGAACAGAGCCACTAGGAATCAAACAATCAGGTGCCGGCCCAGGATCTCTTTAAACCGAAACAAGTAGGTGAATTACAGTAGTCCGTGGGTCTTATTACTGGACAAACTGAATTATGTCTTTTATATCTCTGCGTGACTTAGTTTCTCACGAGGAGATAGTATTACTAGGGAGATACTTGTGGAACCTTCGTAATTAGCAGTTACAGTAATGTTGGTTTTGCACAAGTTCAAATGGCTCAGTGCTAAGTAAGAAATAACTTCCACAAAAATATCGTTTCTTACCTTAGCGAATTGCCACATAAGGGCTAATTTCACTGCGGCCGGATCATTAGAGGCAAATATATTCCAAAAACATTTTTGTAAAAAAAATGACGGCTAATGAAACCTATTTTTCAGATTGGGAGACCGAAAGATGAAACGCATCAAACAAACGTAGTAACAAAATTTTGAAGAAAACATATATACATGACTAAGGTTTTAAAATAATCATGATAATCGCTTTCAAAGATGTTTAAACACATTGCTGCAATTCTTTTCACCATCCTAACATAGAAATTTCGTAAATGACCATGTTTTTGGTTAAAATAAGATAACCACAAATAGTTTATGCAATCTTAAAATGTTGAGATGTAAGAAGTCGTTTTAGACGGGTTGACTTCGTCCGTCAAGTTAGCCTTCTAATGATTCATAATATTGCATCAAAGTTTTTATGCGAAGCTATCTAGCGCCAACTTTTGAAATAGCAAACGATTGACATTTATACTATAAAGTCAACTATTACATTGGCTTAACTAACCGCAAAATCAGTTTTTTTTTTTTATTTACTCTCACTTCCTTCCTATAGACTATGCACCAGCTAACCTTTATTTACCGGTCACATTTTATAGGAGTGTACAGCAACATGCCACCAGGTAGACTCCTAACGCTATTGCGATTAAACTTCAAAATTCAAACACGAATTTTCTCAAAATGACTGTGAATGGCCACTTCCACTGAATGCCTATAAATGTGTATAAACATAGTAACATTGTACTATCATTTTTTGTATATATATATATATGCCTTTTGCATTCTGCACACGTGTTCGCACAACACAACAATTTGAGAAAATTACTCAACATATACAGTATTCCTATGTAATTGTACATAATTCAATTGTAAAATGCTTCGATACTAACGCTTTTACGGCGCATAGGTAAGAATAAAGCCAACAACAACTCAAGTAAATATCTACAATCAGGATATGTTAGTTATCGACTGCTTTCGTCAGTTATTCCACTTGATGGTCGGGTCGCTTAAAGATGACTGCACCAACTGAGCTGCGGCCGATTCGCGGGGCAGTTTCGCGATCAACTTCTCGAGATCCAGCCGATTCTTTGTTTGCACGTAGCAATTAACCAACGCATTCATAGCACCAACCCGTTTAGCCACGTTTATTCGATTCTCGACGTCATCAATATAGGCGATGTATTTTTCAATATGTTCAACCGGAGCCTTGTATTGATGCAAAATAAAAACGATCTTGTCGAAGCCAATTGACGAACTAAGCTTCTTCTTTCCTAGCCAATTCTTCGATTCCAGAAAGGTTTCAATTGCCTGATAATTCATTGCTTCAGCGTAGCCCGTTACGCATGCGTGAGTAAACTGATCTGCCGATATTTTGAACGCCTGTTTGAGGAAGGCAGGTGAGGCAAAATGGGTTTCTGGATCTTTGGCGTGATTTTTCGCACAGTAGCGAATTGTGTCGACGAGTGACGCGCCTAGAATTTTCTCGTTAATTTCAAGCGTTACTTCGTCAATTTCCTGGATTTTGGCTTGGAGCTGAAGAAGTTCGAGCTGGTTTTTGATGACGCCATGATCGGTACTCCCTAAGAAGTGTGTGTTGGCCGAGGTTGCCAGCGCCCGTATCTTGGCCTTTAGATCTTCGATATTTGCAATCACGTTATATCGGCATTGCGCAGCTTCATCCGTATGGCCAGACAGTGACAGCTGTTCAATTAGCTCTGTGTTCTCGCCACATTCACGCAAATAGTTCAGGTATGCCTGCAAAGCTGCTGGCCGGGAAATAAGCTCCTGTTGGAATAGGCTGGGCTTTAGTGAATTCCGAAGAAAGAGAACGACCACCTGCATTGTAGGTGTATCTCCCAGTTCCAGAGCGGCTTCGAGAAGCTGCAGCTTGGCCTCTCGAGAGCGGAATTGCTCGAGGCTATACGTGTTACCGAGAAAGATATCTTCGACGGTTTCTTTGGGCGATCGAATACTGAGTGGAGACGCCAGTTCAGGCTCCGGTATCGTTTGCAGTTTTGGAAGAAATTCAATTTTTTTTGGCCGCTCTGACACGACTGGCGTTTGTGCTATCATTGTCGGCCCGTCCTCCTCGAAATTGAATCCCTTTTGGTATGAGCTATTCCAGTAAGGATCGTCTTCATCCTCTCCTTCGATAGAGTTCAGCTGCTGTTGTAGGTTGTCGAATTCCAAAAAACTTCCTGAGGAATGTCGGAACAGAGGGACAGTTCGCGATGATGCAGGAATACTGGTGTTCGTTATATCCCATTCACTCATTTTGCCGCCCCTGGGAAACAACTAGAAGAGATAACCAAAGAAGCAGTCAATCAGTTCCTCTTGCGACTTCATTTCATACTTGAATTTTGCTCTGCATCTCGAGTCTGACGAATCAAGAAAGTGTGAGAAAGTAGCGATGTGGCAATAAGATGGTTTGATGGACAAAACGGCGTGCTTGCAAATATTTTATTGATAGCCAGTTGTGCAGCATACCTAAGACAACCCTGTCTGTTATGGCCAGTTAACCATAAATCAGACGGTCCATATATTAGATGAAATGGTAAAACAGATTGCTACCTTAGAACTAACCAGGGTAGCATGCAGAACTGTTCTGCAATGTAATCGTTTTGAGAACCTTTAAAAACAGTCAACTCTAGGTCAATACAGTATGTTGTAGAAGTGTTTGAAGCGATATTAAAAACCTAGTATTGCTCTTCGATTAAGACTTCATTCATTGCAGCAAGCCTAACATCAAAGAGCATTAGGCTGTTAGCAGCAAACAATATGTATATCTTGAAACCGATCGTCAACTTGGATTACTTATTGAATATAAGAAGTTATTTCAAATACTGGTGCTAGCTGCAAGGTTGTTCCATGACAGTCAAAACGGATAATATATATTGTAACAGACAGATGAGTTTTGAATATTACCAATACTATTACTTCTATTAATTAATATTAAGCCCATAAATGTTAAACTCGGCAGCATTGTACGTTCAAGCTCGAGGTTCGAATCACTCGTAAGACGCATGTGGGATTCAAACCAATACGTTATTAAAAAAGGACAGCAACTTCTTCAATTATTTCATATATCTCTATAGATCAAGTGAAGAACTCAATGAAACTTGACCTATATAAACGTATACATTTTTTTCATCCAATATCCTTATTGTGGTTGTACCCATTGTTGTTACCGTCATAGTTCAAAAAGGGCACTTAGTCCACTAAAGACATTATTCATTTTTAACCCTTGATTACATGTAATTGTTTTCGCTTTTTTTTTTTAGTATGCATTTATGATCACTGATATACGGTAGGTATTATCATATAGCCAAAAATGTAATCGATGTACCACCAGGACTTAAACCACGATTCCCTGATGTTTATAATATAGTGCTCTGATCAGAGCGCTTTACTTAAAATTAACGTGTTAGATACATTCAAATTTGCTTACAAAGTGTGAGTAAAGTTCATAGACAATAGACTATTAGCTATTATTGTCTACTAGAGCATAATAGTTCTTGTTTTGTTTATAACGTGAATGCTTCAACAAATTATAGTGTTAATTAAACATAGTTGCATATATAAGTGACTTAAGCTGTTCGTGTGAAGTAGATTATTTTATAGTGATTTCGGTGTGTACCAGAAGCTATATCATCAAAGGAACTTCTTAGGTTCAACACTTTCCCCCTAAAGACCATTGAACTCTTCCCCGTTTAGGACACCGCTGTTATATGACTACCAGCGCAGCAGGTTAACAAATGAATGTAGTGTATTACTTATACATAGAGTTATCGAATTCTACGTATAAGTAATAGTATTTCGAAAATTTACCAACAGTCCATTTGTATTAGATACTGGATGCCCACTGGTAGCATTACTTGTTACTTATAGTAGTCTCTATAGTAGACTTCTCTATCAATGTAGAGATAGTGCACTTACGGTTCAAAGGATCTTCGTTGTACACTACCGCTAGTACGGCCTCGTCGAATAGAACAACGCTCAATATAACCGCAACTACTTCTTCAGTTCGGCCACAAACAAGACCGTTACAAGAACATCTTTTGACACAATTCGACACACGTCTCACCATCAGGTGTGTTTCTTGTTTACGATTCAAAACATTGAGCAACGTGGAACGCGCACAGCTGCCGTCTTTCGAAATTATGCTGGCGCGCTACCGCCTAGTTTCGATATCGGCTATTTGCCGAGCATCTTTGTCGATCTCCACTATCGCAGTGGCGTTGCTAGCAACGTGGAAACGTCGTTCTTTGCCACGAGTGCGTTCGACCAGTGTGAGCAAGCAAGAGGAAGCGGAATTAATTTCTTCTAGAGTGTGATGGTTGCGTGATTTTTGGACGTTGTCGTTATAGCTCATTAACTAGTGTGCTTTTTGCTAGAAGAGAAACGACTCGGTTCTATTGTGGGCCCCCGGACCCGACCAATAAATACGATGTCGGGCGACCTCGCCGAAAGTGTACAAGAGAAGTGTGCGCTATCGGAACAACCAAAGGCATGTTGAGCTACGTTTGCCTAGGTCGTATAACCACTGCGGTAGCCAACCGGCTAATGTCAGCTGAGTCGCATCAGCAACTGAGCAAAGTCCTTGTCTTAGGCTCATGCAATCAGCAGTATTCGGGTGGGCTCGCGGTGCTGCAATCTCAAACCAGGGTGTTCTCACATTTTCCGGTCAGTTGCTGCTGTAGTTGAAGCTTGCAGCATCCAACGATCCTTCAAAGCCCATGAGAATGATTAGTCACTCTCCTAATGATAACAGTTGCTCTAACAACGCTCATTTCTCGATTTGATATCCAACTAGTCCACTGTCTATTTCTGCCTACACTAACTCAGCCGGACAATCTCTGTGCCTAGCTTCTACAATCTTGTATTAATAATTTTGATAAAATATGAATTACGTCTTTCGTAATTGCTGAGTAGAGCCTTATACATGATACTGAGCCGACCCATCTTTGATGGGTCAAGTCGTCGTCGGTAAGTCAATGACGATTAACGCAACTGTCGTAGTTCGGATTCTCTGCAGATCCTCCTTTTTAGGGCTTGTTTATTTTTATTGTTAGTCATGTATTGTAGTAAACTGTAAACTGTCACGTAAATCATTCAGAACAATCTGTCAGCCGAGAATGCCCTAGTAACCTGCAGGTAAAAGTTAACGCGATGATGCATCTTTAAGTGGAATTTTTTGTTTTATAAATGATTTTCGTAAGTGGGTGCCAGCTAGAAAGTGGGCGTACTGACTACACTTTCTCCAGGGAAAACATCAAAACAATGAGTTTTCAATTTTTCCCTAATAAGTTATGCATTTTCGCGTTACGTACCATCACGATTTCAACAGTAAGAACAAGTTCCATGAGGGACCAACTGGTGCTAGTGTAAATTCTGTAATTGTTTGCAGGAGCTCAAGGAGCCGGAGTACATCCAGCCTCGCATAAAGCTTTGGGATAAATTTAAGGCTGAGCGGGAGGCCGAGCTGGCGGCCAAAGTTCCGGAACCTATCAAGGTATGTCTTTAATATTGATTATGATGGTTCTAATACCTTCCTTACCGCTGGTGGAGCCTGTCTGTCCGACTGTAGGATAAATCTTTGTTTTTGGAATAGCAGCTAAAATCGAAAGCTTTCGATGCGCTATGTCGGAATGCTACAGATGTTCTTACACTTAAAATTGAATTTTCATCGTGAAGAACGACAAACAAAGACAGCAAATGCAAGCTCATTTTTGTCTTTGCCACTGTTGTATACAGCACTGCGATGCCATTTAAAGCGAAGCGACCACTGAAATTTTACACGATTCTATACCGTGACAATGCGATCTGCAATTTACGTTATGAAATACTTCTGGCAAAATACGGTATAAATGCTATTTATAATTTATATTATTGTATTAACATTTAAGCAGTTGCACGAGATTAAATCACGTTAAAACGCATACTCTGAATTAAGTACTTATACCTGCCTTTTATTTATGTAAAATATGTAAAAGCGAATTTGTTCACTACAACCAAAGCCACCGTTACGAAATACTGCTTACACACTGTCTATTATTCACTCCGTGAGTGTAATTATCTGGACGATAAAATAGTTGAAAGATTGTGATGTAACACTTTCAGACCATTTTATAGTGAGTGGTCAACCGCTCCGCTTTTTACGTACGCGCGAAGTTTAATTTTGCATTCCCAAACAGTTACTCTACTATTGAAATTCTGTCAAACATGCTTGGGTTTTTTGTAAAACAGGTAACGCTTCCAGATGGCAAAGTAGTTGATGGACAATCTTGGCGCACTACTCCGTACGAGGTGGCCTCCGTCATCTCAAAGGGTCTCGCTGACAACTGTGTCATTTCAAAGGTCAATGGCGTTCTATGGGATCTCGACCGACCTCTTGAAGCGGATTCTACTTTGAAATTGCTAAAATTTGACGACGATGAAGGCAAGGAAGTATACTGGCATTCAACGGCTCATATTATGGGCGAGGCGATGGAGTACAAATACCACGGATGTCTCTGCTATGGTCCGCCGATCGAAAATGGATTTTACTATGATATGGCATTCAGAGAGGGTCAACCCGGCGTCAGCCATCACGATTTTCCCCTTATTGAGAAACAGATGAACCAGATTATCAAAGAGAAGCAGCCGTTTGAGAGGCTAGAGCTAACCAAAGAACAGCTTCTTGAGATGTTTGCTTATAACCCGTTCAAGGTTCGTATTCTCAACGAGAAAGTGAAGACTCCTAGTACCACAGTGTACCGGTGTGGACCCCTGATCGACCTGTGCCGAGGACCACACGTTCGTCATACTGGCAAGATTAAATCGTTCCAGGTGACGAAATGCTCATCATCATTCTGGGAGGGTAAGGCCGATGCCGAGGTTCTGCAACGCATCTACGGCATTTCGTTCCCAGACAAGAAGCTTCTAAAGGAATGGCAGCAGTTCCAGGAGGAGGCGGCTCGCCGAGATCATCGAAAGCTTGGAAGAGAACAGGAATTGTTTTTTTTCCACGAATTGTCACCGGGCTCCTGCTTTTTCCTGCCGAACGGGGCACACATCTATAACTCGTTGATCAAATTTATTCGTTCCGAGTACCGGAAACGCGGCTTCACCGAGGTTGTGTCGCCGAATATCTACAACGTCAAACTCTGGGAGACATCCGGCCATTGGCAACACTATAAAGAGAATATGTTCTCATTCGAGTGTGAAAAAGACACCTATGCTCTGAAGCCAATGAACTGTCCCGGCCATTGTCTAATGTTCGACGTCCGATCACGTTCATGGCGAGAACTGCCTTTAAGATTTGCCGATTTCGGGGTTTTACATAGAAACGAGATTAGTGGAGCGCTGACTGGACTCACTAGAGTTCGTAGGTTCCAACAGGATGATGCCCACATATTTTGCACTGTTGATCAGGTCTGTATTTAAAAATGGGTCCTTCCATACAAAAAAGAGTTCAACATTTTTTTGCTCTAATTTAAATATGCTCAGTCCTTGTCTTAATGTTTTCGACCATTCTTACTCAGTAAACAAGTCCTCAGAGTTAGCTCTTCCGTATAGAATCGACGACTTGCTTCCAATAAAAGATTTAGCCGGAGTGGGTCTTGCTGTATTTATTTGGAGTGTCTCCAACATACCTATGCAACAGCATTTTAACTATTAGATAATGCTGAGACTTGAAACAGCTGTGACTGCATGTTCATGGTTATCATGGCAACTCGCTCAAAGCATGCGCATTAGGCGCTCAGACCCGCTACTTCATATGCCCAGTGGAAGCATTTATTCGTTAGTGTATTTGGTGATTCCTCGTATCATTAAATTATTATAAATTATTAAAATCAAACTACCTTAAATGATTATTGCTATTCTTTAAAAGATGTTGTGACCAGAATCTCCTGGTAATAACATTATCATCTGAAGTGAAACTGCCATATATTGATGATTTGCGACCAATACGTATAGTCGCCGCCGTAACGGAAGCGCATAGTAAACAAGTTTGATGCCAACTTCTAACATGTGTTTTACATGCAGATCGCTCAGGAGATTGACGCATGTCTCGATTTCCTGAGAGCAGTTTATGGCGTGCTAGGGTTTACGTTCCAACTAAAGTTGTCCACTCGGCCTGAAGGATTTCTTGGTGAACTCGAAGTATGGAATCGCGCAGAGAAGCAACTTGCGGAGTCGCTCGACAAATTCGGCCAAGCATGGGCTCTCAACCCAGGTGACGGAGCCTTCTATGGACCTAAGATTGACATCAACATTCAGGTAAAAATCATTCAGCATAATTTTAAAACTATCCAGGTTATTTTTTCCTTTTGCATACCTCTCTATGAGAAAGACGAATGCGTGTTATCATTCCAGGTGAGTATATGGACAAAATTAACTACAATACTGCACATATAAAGGCTAATATGCTGCATATGCTCCAGTTGCAATAGTGCTTATTTATTAAAGATTGTGTCGTTTTCGGGTTTTAGGATGCGCTGCGCCGCCAGCACCAGTGTGCCACTATCCAATTGGACTTCCAGCTACCCATTCGATTCAACCTAAATTATGTGAATGAGGCAGGTGAAAAGACGCGCCCTGTGATCATTCACCGTGCTGTCCTTGGCTCGGTCGAGCGAATGATCGCCATTCTAACTGAAAACTTTGGTGGAAAATGGCCATTTTGGCTAAACCCTCGTCAAGCAGTTGTTGTTCCGGTTGGGCCAGTGTTCGACGAGTATGCTACAGAGGTGAAAAAGCAGCTGTTTGAGGCCGGATTCCGTTGCGACGTTGACCTCAGCGAGGGCAACACGATGAACAAGAAAATCCGAAACGCCCAGTTGGCTCAATATAATTTCATTCTCGTTGTCGGGGAACGGGAGAAATTGGCTGGTACGGCCAACGTGCGCACACGCGATAACAAAGTTCATGGAGAATTCGCCATTGACGATATCGCGCGGCGATTTAGTGGACTACACAAGAACAAATCGAACGATTCGGAAAACGACTTCTAAATAACGTCTATTAACAAACGTTGAGTAATAACATAGTGGAAAAATCTATAATTAAAATTGTAGGCATGTTGAGAGGCAGAGAGTGGGGGGAATGGAATGTGTTCAATGGATGGATTGCGCAGTGTGTCTAGGGAGCCGTGTTGCGGCATCCAGTTGATGGCAGTATGATTACCGAGGCCACAGTGAGCAGCGTGTAGTTAATAATGAAGTATTGTTCACAGACGGACCTTCTTCATAGAATTATACATTTACCTTGCCGTTACTTTTTGCTTATTAGCTGTCATAATAACGAACCAGTGCAAGTACTTGAAAAATTGTTTGCTGAGACCAAATAGAGATGTTATATTATTTAATAAGTGACATTTAGGGCAAGAAAAATTACAGTGAAAAAGAAAAGGCTAATATATTTTTTTGTATAGACGAAGAAAACGAAGGTTATGCTACATATAAACCACCGCCAATTAAATTGCCTCTACACCAATTGTTACCGATAAGCTATTAGTAATTACTTAGTATAGCGTATGTTAGTTATTAATTTAAAAAATACAAAATGCTTATTTAGTAGATGGCGCCACTGTTTACAACAGCACGCCAACAACCATTATTGTAAAAGGCTGTGTGTTTCATTGTGAAAATGATATGCCTCACCTGAATTGGCCATTCCGTTTAGAAAGAGCTCCAGAGAATGGGACAGCTGCTTAAGAATGCGTTACGTGAACCATAGGTATAATAACTGGTTTGGCTCTATTAAATTATTTAAAAAAATTTTAGAGGGCAGTTAGAAGCGATAAGTACATGTTGTCATTTGGGTATACAAAGCGACCGGATATGGTGCACGCGCCGATAAGAACCTATTTATTGTAAGGACTGAAATAGAGATAAAAGAAAAGTGGCGACAGGAACATAAAAATTTCGACTTGTTCAGTAATAAATAAATGAACGGATTTCCTCTACTACGTTGTTTTTAATTTTTAGGCACAAGCTTTTTAAGGCAGTATAGCCAAGTGATGGACTGAGCCGCGCTAAACATGATCGCGCTAGGTCACTGGCGGTAAGCCCTGGTTTCCTAGTTTTTGTGGGAAATCTAGATCGTTCCGTTCTTCTTCCATATTCGTATAGGAGCCAAGGAAGTATAGTTGATTTTAACAACCTTAACGCTTGATTTATCTTAGACGTGGTTCCCGTGTACAAATCTGTATTTTGCTGCAGAAATATCGTTACGGAAATGCAGTATTGAAACAAATTCACACTCAGATTTCTTTTTTATATTCTTATGTGTAGTGCGGGAAGTCCAAAGGAAAATATTTTTAGAATACGCTGAGGAAAGCAGACGTTACACCTTTCAACTCGTTTAAACATGTATTCATGGTGCTGCCTATTATATTTGCCCACTTGAGTAATATTTATATGAACTTGTAGTAATATGTTCTGTTAGTAATAAGATGTGAATATTGTCACACAAAGAAGACAACAAGCGCGTATATTAACGTATCAAGGTCTTTTACGTGCGTAGATATCCCCGAAATTCAGGCCTTAACGCTTAAGTGCTTCTTACAGCACAGGTAGGTCGATAAATGGTGGACCCTTTTTTTTTATAGCTAATCGAAGCATTTTTGTAAACAAGATGTGAAGCACTCATTGAAATAGTTGGTGAAGTTCAACGTGAACTACCTTATCGATCGACATAAAACTTGTGGGGGCTGAATATGTGCTCTAACATATGGCGCTTAGAATACATCGGTGATTGTTAATTGCCTAATCGCAGCTAGGTTTTTGCCGAACTCTAAGACGTTCATCGATCATCAATGTATCTTTTCTGTCGTTTTTTATGATGTTCTCGAATAATCTGTGTTATTCAGTGTTACTTTCTCTATTTTGCATTGTTCTTGCTCGAGAGTAGGCTAGTCTGTCGATTACATCGGTATCAGTTTCTTTTTGAATCAGTAATGCGCGAAGCCTGTTTCATAGTTTTGATCGTTGTTCTGTTGTTCTGCTCCCTTATCACTGACGTATGGCTGAGAGCGGCCATCGTATCGCAGCGGTGTTTGCTTTTGCGTTGTTTGTGTACCGTCTACCGCCAATTGCCTTATTGCCCGAGATGAGCGTTTGTCTCTACCCCCCGCCGATCGGTTGTGTTGAACGCGAAATTGGCACAAGCACGAGAAGCCGTAAGCATTACGGTATCGTGAACGCTTTCACTACTCTGATTTCACAGGCATGATTCATGGCCATTTACGACGTGTCACTATTTAAGCCATTTGACAATTAGATAAATATCAATGGGATGGCATAAGAAACATTAATTCCTTGTTATGTTAATGGCAGGCTCATGTATGTAAGTGCAGAATCGGCGAGCGAAACGATGACAGTCTGGCCATTGAGATTGACGAGTACCGCTGTTTGCTGTCAGACACGACGAGATTATGCCGTCGCACTAAAGGTAGCGGCAGCAGCAGCAACAAGACTACAACCAATGGCAAGGGCAGCGTGATAACGCAAAAAAGTCAGAACAAAATAGTGCTATGGTCCCACGATCTAATAATATAGGATTTATGTACGTTTATTGTTGATTTTACGTATCATCGATGATACTTGAACGACACTGTTGTAACCGATGAACATACTATGTATTATTATTATCAAATATATATTATTATGCATGTTTCTTTGGCAACGAAGGATTCATTTGCGATTTGTTTAAATTGGTGGAGATTTTTTGGTGAGAGAATTAAGTGAAGATAAGGACTTAGGTAGGTATTAAAAAAGGCCAAATTTCACAGTGTCCGCTATTCTTTTCGTAGAATAGCATCCATCTTAATTATCTTAAAAATATCGAAGGATCTAAAAACCATGCTCTTTATTTGGGTTTTTCTTGATCGACTTTTTACCTGGAATGCCTGGCAGCCTTCTGGCGTTCGAGTACAGGCAGTCCTAAGGTGCGCACGCTTGGCCTTGTAGCCGCTTTGTAAATACTTCCGGCGTTGCTGGTAACGGTTTTTTTTATTTCCAAATATCCGCCCATTAAAGCTTGTATGCGAAAAAACCTTTTTCAGATTCAAATCAGCAACGTCTGCCGAACCAACCTTTGATACTAGCTTTGCTACCGCCTTAGTGATCACGAGGGCTTGTTTACAAATTTTTTTCAAAAGTATGGCTACAAAAATTACAGATGGATAATACTTAACGAAACGTCAAATATTAGTCAGCGCCTCATTCATGAGGCTTCTTTTACTTTTTTTTTACTTTTTAAATATATTGTACCTAAGTTCAGCTCTGATGATAAAGAAACAAACTTATTACTTCTAGATTCATACAGTTAATCAAGAATATAATGAAACATGAGTCATACTAATTAACGAATCAAATTGACGCTACATATCGAAGTTAAGTGATATGAGAGAAACCGCAAATAAAATGGCTAGAACACAATCGACTAATCTGCACGCTCGAAATTGCTACCGCGAAGCAGAAGCTCGATTTGTTTGTTATTAACGTTCTTTCTCCATCTGCCAATGACGTCAAGTAGCAGTATATCATTTTAATGGTTGTTTTACATGGCTAGACTTCAGTCGCCGATTTATACGTCAGACGCCTGTAAAAAGACAAATCTTGGCTCGAATCTGTTCGTTCCGCGACCCTTGGAATAAGCAAGACTCTGTTGTCTGAGATGTCTGATGTGTTTATTCAGCGCGCCAACGTGTTCCATTCACGCATCATCGCCAAAGGATCTCCATCGGATTTTGCTATATCAACCTGCTCTGTAGCGAACGCAAGCTAAGTGTGATCGTTCATTCCGGAGCACGATTTGTTGAAACAATTATCTAACTTATTCGCATGTGTGTTTTTTTATTTCAATAGCTATATGAAAACTTCTAATCGTTCTTTTCTTCGGTGGTACATAAAGCCTAAGTCGAGTCAAATAGTTTCGAGTTGCTTTCTTCAAAGAGAAGAAAAAAGAAAGCCTCTATAAATAGTATAGGCCTCGAGACAACCGACTGATTCACAGTTTTAATAGCTGCTTTCTGGTGAGCTACCACTTGAATATAAGTGCACATACGTAACATTAACTAAAGAGCGCACTTATAGGCTAAAACGGTTCCAATTAGGATCTCCGTGGCACCTTAAGTAGTATATCCTCTATTCAGCAAGAGAAAAAGCTCACAATACGGCAAGTTCTGCGTTTGTTTCCTGTGTAACGAGCCTACTAGAAAAGAGGTCCTTTTTATTTCAGTTAGGACCGAATACAACAGACGCCATGCAATACTATCATTATTATCAGAAAAGATAGCACTTTTTCGGCATTCTGTCATTCAAAATTTTCCCAGGAGCTTTTTAAACTTAAACTAATGTGATGCAGGCGTTTTAAATCCCAAATAAGTAGTAACAGTTTATTATATTTTATTGATTAGTAGTTTTATATATGAGTGACTTAAGTTAATGAGGCATATTCCTCGTTTCACAAACGTAGCGAGCTTTCTGTGTCAAAGACTTGACAATCTATGCAGTATTCTCAAACACAGGTCGACATTTCATGCTGCCTTCAAACATCTCATCAATGGCCCGTTTTTCACTAACGGGTTTAATTGTTTCCGTGAATATAACGATTGAAGCCTGAATGCCAATTTTCGACACAGATGACAAGAAGCGGCTAGTATTGAAAATAGCGAAATTGCTTGTCGTTGTAGCGGCAAAACATGAAACTGCGTAAGGAACCATTCCCAGGTAAAACGCTGGCTTTCGTCCGTAATGACCGCCAAAGTGATTAAAGGAAATATTACCAGCAATTAGGCCAGCCATTGATAGCGTCTGAGGAAACAGCTTCAGGTGGTCTTTCTGGCAGACAAGGATTTCACGCTTCAAGTATCGTCGATTTATGCACAAAATGATCATACGTCCATGAGGCATACTCCACAAAATTTTAGTTTGTAAATATCTTAGATGCTTTGTCACTCTTCTTCAACAAGACGTACAAATCAGGATCCTGAGACTCACTGCAATTGTAGTCAGCGTTTGAGGTGACAGTATGAACGCCATAGCCAGCTGTCCGTACGCCTTAAACAACGAGTTCATAAAAATTGCGAATGTCAAAGGCCCACCTGGCTCACAAGGGCGGTTAGTCCGCCTGACAGCTCCTCCTGCCAGCGACTAGATGTCGCGTCTTTATCGCGAGCACGGTGTCTAGTAAAGGAGTAAAACAAACGAACTGGAGGGGCTTCCTTGAATCGCGTGTGAATGAAGACTTCCCAGCAAGCCCAGAGTTCCGGTGGTATCGTTGGGATTGAGTCCACCTGCTAGCAGGCATTACTGAAGATCCTTGCCACGCCACCTCGTCTGCGTGAGGTACGTCCGACTCCGCCACAATTACAACGTGTTTCTCGGTCTTTCGTATTTGCGCTCCGAATATTGTTGACCCAGTCCAACGCCAACACTGCTGCCTCAGCTTGCTAGTCTTCGAATAGCGTAACCGCACACTTGAAAAGCTTGCTGCGGGTCCGCTTTCGCGGGCTCTGGAGTAACTAGACAGACCGACGGATAGACAGGCCACCTCTTTGACTTTACGTTCTGTAGTGTTTACTTGCTTAACTTAACCAGACAAGAATTTCGGAATTAGGAACAGGAACGAAACATTATTTTAGATAGACAGAGAGGAAGTAACAAGCACATGCCTAGCGGTTTTTCTCCAGTTAGTGAATCCGTTGTCAGCCTGCTAGCTAACTAGTGTTGATTATAAAAATTTAATTTTAGCCAACGAGATGCAGTCGCAATGAGCACTACTTTAAGCAGCGTTGTCACAACCTATTGGGGCATTTTTACTATCGAGTGCTACCCCGGAACGACTACAAGGATTAGCCCCTCCTTCTAGAAGGAGGGATTTCCCCTTTACCCAGTAACCCCGCCTGTTTCGCACCCATACACCTATGACGCCCATGTACGCGACATATGTACTTAAATGATAACAGTTACACTGATGAAACTCCAGGTTCAGCAAGCAAACCATCAAGGACAAGGACATTATTGCCACCACCTACCAGTAACCAATTGTAATGTAAGTTTTCGTGTGTCTAAGTTAGCGGCAGACAGCCCTAACTAGCAGATCACACATCTGCTAACTTCGTATTGGCATAGATAGGCCTGTTTGACTTTTCTCTATTCGTAATCTCTACTAAAATTAGAATTTGTCTCGCCGGACGATCGACAGCAGCATGAGGCAGACGTCAGCCAATTTTGCCGACACAAAGCTACCGAGGAAATGAATGTACACGGTAAGATGAACAGATGTAATGGAGCAGCTATGGCCTAAGTAAGTTGGACCTCCACCGTCGCAGTCTTCGACTGATGTTGGTCGGTTAGACAAACGGGCGAATGAGCCCTTGGGACAGTTTTCAGAGCGGCGAAGTGGTGAAGACTGCGATAACAATCGTGGTAGCTGCACGCGAACTCTAGCTGCGAGACAGCGTTGGCCTGCGAGTGTCTTTCGATCGTTGGCGGGATAGCTTTTTTTTTAGTGCAACTGTTGGCGTATGTGAAAGGGAGGACGCTAAAATTAACATTCCCCTTACGTTGATGGAAATGCGTACGGAGCCACGTTTAAGTATGATTTAGGAGGCAGGACGCAATCATGGACGCTGAATGCTATAATGAGACTGGTTTCATTTGTATGTCGTTACGGAAGAAATAAAAAAAAAACGGGCGCACATGCGTCAGTCGCTCTCGCGGCGCAGGGTGTAATAATACGACCTTGATACACCCAATGCGTTAATTTCTAACGTCAACAAAGCACGAAAGGATCTTTCTTTGCATTTGTCCAGGGTTATGTTCAAATTATATTATTACTTGATTCATAATCTGCCTTCAGCTGACATATTTTTGGAACGCAAAGTTTCCCACGTCATAGAGGGTTGTCTTGAGGAGCGTGTAGAATGAGCAAAAGATGCACTAAGCGACATTCCTCTAAGACAGAAGACTGAAATATAGATTTCCTGCTACAATCAACTGAATACTAAATCGCATTGTTTTATTTCTGAATACTAGTATGCTCTGAAGTACAAAGTAGCTCAGTTACTGTTACAGTTTTCATAAAATGAAAGTAATTTGTGTTAATGTATGTACACTAAACAGAGTCTTAGTTACCAGTCGAACCTTCAGCCAATGGGATAGATATAAATTGTTTTCCCAAAAGTCTATGAAGTGACCTATATTTAAGTGACACTGTGTTCTTTGCGACATTTGTCGCGCAAATACAAGCAGGTCTTTTAAAAGCTGTGGGTCCACTTATTAATGGTTACTTTTGTACCAGTTGTACTCCTACCATCACTCGAAGTGAAATAGCTTTGAGCGATTTTGGCCTCGCTCAAGAAAGTTGAGGAAGAAAAATAAATATACACAGCGATTAACTTTAGGATTCTTATGGTCTGCAAAACACTTGTCTGTTTATTATTATTATTATCAGAATAGCGATCAATTAGGTTTTCCTTCCAAATAGGTCTCGTCTGTTGTCTATATGCCAAAAAACTTGTTCATTTGCTTAGTGCTAATTTATCAATGCAACGACTTCCTAGAGTGGAGCCGATCTGCAGTAGATAAGTATTTAGAGAATAGGCTACGGCAATGGCTAGCAGTGTTAGGTATTTGTTTAGGGAAAAAGCATGATGCCTTTCCACAAATAGTTTTTTTCCAATCGCCAAATCGTCGGATACGTTACTTCACGGACTTTTGGGAAAACAATTTATATGTATTCCGTTGGCTGAAAATGTAGTAACAAAATGTTGGTGGGTTAGCTAAGCCAAATTACCCGTATCTGATGTGGATCAGCTGCGCGAGTTATTCTCGGATCATCTCAGGACTATCGCCGTCTGAATTAAATTGTCGCCACAGTGATATCTTACCATCAACTCTCTATAGAGTCATCCTAATAATTTTTGAACTTTCATCTTTTTGCGACAAAAAGATGGGTAGTCTTTTGATTTCGAAGAAAGTTAGTAACATAGTTGGCTAACATTGGCTTCTATATTTTAAAAAAACTGCACTGATGGATCACGTTGACTATAATTGACGCAAACCACTTGTATGACATCCTTTCGTAAGATCAATTTCAGCAGGTCTTGAGGGCTACACGGTTGTATAAGTTGATCTCGTACTGAAAGACCTTCACTAATTTAATACCTATTTCTCCTGTTGCGCTGCAATTACAGTTCGATTGTATTTTGTTTTATTTGTTTGGCGAACTGAGCCGTGAGATGCTGAGGCCCTAATGAAAATAATGCGTCACTTAAAGGTTCTAACATTGAAATTTTTTACCCTAGATGTTACATTGTCTATACAGATGGGAGTGGCAACACACAGAATAAAACCGATAATGAAAATTAAAATGAACAAAAATCAAGTCATTTTTTGAAAAACAGTGATGCGCTTATTTGCTAAATCTGGTACAAAACAAGAGCTCCTTCTTTCTACGACAGCATCAAACTTGTCACGGCAGAATAAGTTACGTTATTTTTGGAACTTCAGTGAAAATCAGCTATTACCCAGTTTTTTCGCACTCGGTGAACCCTCACCAAATCCAAAAGTTTCCTTTTTAGCCCGAAATCATGATTGCTAGTTTTCATACGGTTTCTGAAAAAGCCAAAGAATATTTCCATAAATAGATGGGGGGATTCCCAACAGGGTGAGGATATAAACGGGTCGAAAGTTCATCAAGATGGCTTGAGAGCCATTTGATTCACCGATATTTGTCATGTCTATCTAAATCGATGCCGGTTTTCGAAACAAGAACATCGGTTAACATCTAGATTGTCCAGACAAACTGTATGAGTCTTATGGCGCTATTTTGCACTTCCTAATTTTTTTTCGGGCTATGTTGGGCACTTGTTTATTTTGGGACCTTTTGCCTGCTATCAGCCCACAATTAAATTCCGCTGGGACTTTATATATATATATATATAGCGTATTTTGCCACTTTTCTTCACCGCTTAAACGAAGTTCTACCTAGGACCGTGGCGTGACGCGCGGTTACTATTAAAAAAAACTTATCTGCGCATTAAAAAAGGAATATTTTGAAAATGAGTTGTGCCGAATTGAAATTGTAGTTGTTGGCTTACGTAAAATAATTAGAGCATATTTAAGATCGAACCCACAAACGTATACTGACGTTTTACGGTCAGATCAACAGGACGACTCGCATTTCGATAAATACCCGCTACGTCACCCCTTATTCCTAGGAAGCTATCTCAGCCTTTTCTTGTACTTTGATAAGAAGGATTTATTAGTGCTACTCAATAAGATCGGAAATTATTACATATACTGAATAAAAAGTTCGCGACTCTCCTTTATTAACAGTAGAGCTATATCTAGTGCCCAATGAATGAATAGCAATTCACACTTACAAGTAGTTAAACAAAATAAAAATATATAAGCAATTTTACTACACGTTATGTTAACATCATTTTTAATACAACTCTGTACTTAGTATACTGTGCTTCGCATATTTACTTTAAACATGGTAAGGCTTGCGCTATAGAGGTACACTTTCCATTACAACGAATCAAAATCAGATTAGGTTTCCTTCCGTACGTATGCCTTGTGTGTTGAGCAGTACTATATGGAAAAAAATTTGTGTTTAACTGGTTCACACAAGTTATTTTCTGCGCTGAGACATGCATATGAGATCAGTATAGCCGTCCTGCAATGAGGTCTTATCGAATACTTGCTTTCTTGCAATCCAAGTATATGTACATACAAGTTGGAGCCTTACTTTTCATTTAGACAGTAATAAACTCAGCGTTCGTTTTGCGTGCAAAATTTAACAAAAAAAATATACTGAAAAGTAGGTATTTCATTCATTTTGTGTTTTCAATGGACATAAAGAGCAAGTCACCTTTTCATGTGTATTTAACTAAATGCAGATAGCCCTCTTATATATCCATACATATATATATGTGCTTCATTCAATCGTACTTGAGCTTGCTTTGCCGCTCATAAGCTTTCTTTTGTATAGAATAATTTATGTTCCATGTATTCATATGTAAAGAATTATAGATATATATATATATATATATATATTGATCATTATATAATGATCAATATAAATCTAACAACGACATGCGTGGGACGTACGGGTAAGTGCGAACAAATACGCCCAACCTATAACCTAAAATAAAACATAACCAACCTCTGGAAGAAATCTCGGATGGGCGTGAGTATTCAGGCGCGTTTCCTGATACGCATATCGGCATTAACGACGAAGCTGATTACAATGATTTCTCAAAGCTTTTTTCCTGACGCTTGTATGTAGGTCTGTCCTGCTGAGCATATGGTTGATGGCGCATTGCTCAACGCCCTCTCGAAACGTGTTGACTTTCATTTGCCATCGAGTATAGGCCCATTTTCTAAAATCGTTGGTAGCCAGCGGCATGACGATGTTCATATTGTGACCTTCTTCGACGTAAAGGAAGTCATGCACAAATAACTTCAGGCCGTACTTGAGCCACGCAAAGGCCACGAGTTTTACTATCTGTAAGTTACAGTTGATCATTGTAGCTTAACACGAAAATAATAGATATTTGACGTTCGATGCACTTAGCGTGTTTATCCTGCGACACTTACTTTTTGGTACCTTGTGGATATGTGTGCGCACGGGAACGGTCCACTGCGCTCATTTCTTTGACCCCTAATTTTATGGTAGCTAAGGCAACATACAACGGTTACCTATATCTACAAAGTAACTATCTTATACCTGCTGCATTTTTGGAAGAATAAACAAGGATATCTGCTATGCAAATCTCAATGGAAAAATAACACGCGGTGTTTTCAAAGCCTACCTCTGTACGAAACATCTCAAGCCGTTCCCTTAGTTCGCGCTCATGGGTCGTCCATTGTTTGATGCGCAGATCTTTTCTGTGTCTCGCTTCGACCAAGGTCATATGCAGATCAATACTGTCCCATAGTTCAGTCGGCAGAAGGCATCGCCTAGGCAAGACAACGCGTTCATTCTGGATGCTCACTGCCTTAGGTGTTTTTAATTGTCTTAACTTGCAAGATCTGGGCACAGATTCGGTTCGGTTGGCGACAGGCTCCTGTAAATGCTCGCGTCGTGCACGAAAGCTGTCATACCTCGTCAAAATAAATGATGGTACGTCGGTCGTTGAAGGTGTTTCACTGATTTTGCCTGATGGCAGTGCGTTCTTATTACTATTGATGATGTCTGGTAACCTCTCAGTTGATTGCAGCGTAGAAGAGAAGCATTTCTTTGAGTGTTCGAACACTATTTGAAACTTGCGGAACCTGTCCCGAAAAAAAGACTTGATAGAATTAGCGATGGGAGGACCGTGTTGGTTTATAGTCATCTTTTTTCTCCTTTCTCAAGGTTTTCAACTTTTCTGGAGCAAATTTTCGAAGTTCCGTCGAATGGGTAGAGCACTTTCAGGCGTCTGCAGAAATCCAACCTACTCCAAACTTGCCGAAACATTAGCCAAGTTCTTTAGGTTATCCACATTAAGGGATATGGTAGTTATAAAATCGCAATAGTCCACACGAGTACAGAGCCAGCCCACAACGACCTTAAAAACGATTAGAATGTAGAACTACTTGACGATTGTACGTAACTAGAATCAAAAGATCCCTGCCATTACTGCTGCAGCGATTAACTACTATTACGAAATTGCCAAGTAAGGCCCAGTCAAAATGTTCGTTTTGTGAGTTGCTATGTGTATAAACAAACGTCACTCGCTTTTCGGAGAGGTATCGCTTCACATGTTGAACCTGCACGACGGCATACTTCCATTAAGTTGGTACGATGTTTCACCACAATTTGTGCACGTTGCGCGTCGGCAAGTTGTTCTAAGCCAGTGGCCGTGGCACAATTGAGCGATATGATTGAATCTGAGAGCTTGTGTTCGTTGGTAATTGCTAAACAATTATTTCAAAAGAAAAAAACACCAGCTTTATATGAATAAGTTCAGAGAGGTTAGTCGCTTGTCCACTTGCGAAAAAAGGAGCGCAGACTTTTGCGTAAGCATCTACTTTTTTCCCTTAATGGCCACTTTGTCTCTCTCCCTACATTCTCTAGAAGATTTCCAGATACAACGGTATTTGCAGGTAGCTATCAACATCGACATCTTTCGCGAACAGCATGTGTGCATGGGTATGCGGAACGTGCCTACTGCTAAGCACACGAGAAGCAAATCAAATGGATAATACTGCACCGGCTGGCTGCTGATATCTATTGCTGCGTGTTGTCTAAACGCCGCGTGAAGTACACTCTTCATCTTGGAGCCCGCTCGTGCGAGCTCGGAAGCCCAATGATGAATAGTCGAATGGGATTGACCCAGAGTGATTGCGCTGATGGTGGCCTATTCGTCCGCTATTGACGCGGCGGATAAGCTCCGTCACCGCGCTTTGATTGGATTGCGTTGGATCAACGGGCCAAACAAAGGATTGCTACTATGATCCGTAGCCAAGTTAGTGAGAAGTGCGTAAGCCAAAGTTCCGGGAAAAAAGGTTTCGCACTATCAAAAAGGTGCATCATGGCTAGAGGACGACCCAGAGAATAGGCTAAGTGAAGAACTAAATGAGTATGTCGGTAAGGGTTGGGCGGGGGGTAGGGGGCGAAACAATATAAGTAATGGAAATGAATTTGAGAAAGATATTATTTTGAGCAACCCAATTTTAATCTCATACTTTCAACCCGAATTTGCAGGAAGAACCAACTGTGATCAAATTTGTAACACTTTAAGACAGCAGAGACTGCTGCGTTGTTTGACATTCTTCACTTTTCTGTGGTATTAATTCACGGAAATAGATCTAAATGGTTAACAATGCCCGTATATGGTTAGAATATGTCGAAAAGTAGCCATATTTCTTTAAAAAAAATTGTATCCACTTCAAAGCGCAAATACGATTTGATTGTTTGTTTTGCATATTTTTCTGTACGGGTGTGCGTGGAAAGCATTCCAGGCTGGTTCTGATTACTAGGTTTGGTCTTGCGCACTAGGACGAATTTGAAAAATTAGGCAGTCACTTAGTTTGACCTAAATTAGTTGGCTAAATGTTGGTCAGAACAAAACTACTTATCCGCCTCTGCGTCGCGCTTAGGTTTATGTTTTTCGAACATCCAGAAGCTATCCCACGTACGCACACGTATCTATGCATGTTTTCCCGCGGCCAATGCCCGCGAGCACTGGATAAATGAGGCGAATTGTTCGCGCCTATCTACGACATCTTCATTGTTTGCACAAACTCTTGAAGCTTATCGTGTCTTTATCGTCGTGTTACGCTGTTGCTGCTGCTATTGGTTTTGTAGTAGTTGTTGTCGTCGTCACTGTTATAGCAGCAAATGCCATCGCCAAGTCGACTGAACTCCTCAGTCGATGTGGAGCTATATTGTGATACCATCATGCGAACAGTTCGAAACGCAGGCTGACGGCGGTAGCAGACTCATCGAACTGGTTCGTCCGCATCACAAGTGCCACCCACACAAGCGACTCGCACTGCGATCGAGTTTCTTTTTGCCCCTGCCGCATCACTGGTAATCTTGCTCCGCGAGCCGGCCATGTAAACTACTCGAATGTCTTTCGAGACCATATCTTGTCTACGTTAAGAATGCTACTCGTATCGAGTTCGCGGGCACATCGCAAACCCGATGCCTCCTACCTCTTAGCCGTCAAAACTTCGTAATCGTTTTAAAATCGGTGGTTCGCCCAGTTTGGCCCAGACTCGATGTCCGCAATGCTACCCAATCCAATTCTGCCCATGAGTGGCAGCAGCATCGATCGAAGCAGAAGCCAGGTCGGCCGATAGCTATCTGCGGTAAAAGTAAACACTGTGTTTTCTGTGATGCCTACTAACCCATCTCTGCTCAACGCTCGGCTGGGTGCCGAGCCACCTAGAGGCTATCGCTTCCAAATTGGTGGGGAATCTCGTTTCGGGTGAAGCGATAAAATTAAAATCAAATTTGTGTCTCGTTTTCATTCGTCGTAGTTCAGCAACAAGATCTAGCCTAGTTGCTCTTTCCCTCCCCCTCCATGCAGTTTGCATGTGCAAACTTCTCACCTCCCTTTCAGATGGGATTTAATGGATTCTTTATTAATTATCACGCGCACCATTTATGGAGCCTTCGAAAAATGCGGAAAGTAGATGGCTGGCCTCTTATGTCTGTGAGATAGATCGACCACCCCAACGTGGAACTTTGTTTGTGGAACAGCGCTGCATCACGTCGAGTGCTGATGTCGTAAAGAGGTACAAATAAGTGGAACATGATAATTAATGGTGATAAGCGTGTTTTTCTTCCAGTCTTAGATCTGAAAGCTTTCTCTCTCTCTCTCTCTCTCTCTATATATATATATATATATATATAATGCTCGATCAATGTAAGATGCACTTTGCTTCTCGAATTTGGTAATGATTTAGAGCATCTCTTCCTGGTCTGGTAAACATTTTTATTCCAATTCTAATGTTTTGGAACTATCATTGTGCATAATTTTTTTTGCGGTTCTTTTTTGCGCGATAATTTGTGATTTGTAGTTTGCTGCTATCTTCTGCGCGCGCCCAATGCTCCCGGCTGCCATGTTCTGCAGACTTGTCATGGAAAAGTGCTACCTTGGTACTAAATTTGGGAAAACATGCAACTTCTTTCACAAATGATAAGTAAAAATACGTACCTACTGTCTACCTGTCTAATACTACCTGTCTCCTACAAACATAATAATATTTAAGCGTATATTTTCGTGGTGCGAATCCTTGCTGCACGCGTGTTTTGAACTAGTTCTTTTTATTTATTACGTAGCTAACTTGAAAAACCTTTATGGTCATTTACGTCGAGTCGATAGCACTTGTATATTTGAAAGAAAATATATATAATGACAAAGCGGTTATATGAATTCTCTCAGAGGACGCGGCAATGATCGTTCGACAAATTTTCCAGCAATCAGTAACGGAGTAATTAATAGTTTTGCGGCTTATCCAGATTGTATAGAAAGATTTTTCTATAATCTGGTATTTCGTAGCCTATTTTTCAAATGGCAAATATTTTTTTCTGAAATCCCTCGACACAATTCTCGAATATAGTCATCATTCAGCCCGTTTACGTAGCCAGGTAGTGAATGTAAAAGAAATACTCTGAGGGAAAGCTGACATCTCCGTGCCAACCATCCGGGAAACTTTGGTCGTACTTGTTTTTCGAAATATGCAGTTCCGGGAATTGTGGAAAGAATAATTTCGAATACGAAATATTTTGCACGAGCAGTAGAATTTAGGTCAAATAAATCTAAACATGTTATCTCTCATATGGTCTTCAAAACTGCGAGGTCAGAAATGTAATCAATTTAGGGATTTAAAGAGATCGAAATGGAAAACTTGCGCCCAGCAAAATGGTAGCCAACAGTCATGGTAAAAAAATATGTTCAATACTGTCTTCCACGAAGACCTTTCTTGTGAACAACAAGAAATCATTCATTAACGTATCAAGTGCCAGGAGTTAGACGATATTAGTCGTGGCTATCCTGTAATGGAGTTAGAATCGGTCAGAAAGAGAAGTACTAGTGGTGCCCCTGCAGTGTCAAACTTAATCCGTTTGCGCTCGAAGATCTTCGTAATGGAGGTTCGTTCAATGGGAGAGGTCGCCATCGGGAAAAGACTACATGTTGGACTGCACTATCTAGAGTTGACTATTGTGTTTCACTTCGTACGATCGATGTAGCTGCCAGCAGCTGTGTGGTACCAATGTTTTGTTTCGGCTGGTGAATCGGAAAGCAAAAAGCGCTTCCTCTTTATCTCCGGGTAAACGCAATCTCAGCTCGCCTCTCGTCCCTCCTCAAGGTTGTGAGCACCTTCGTAGAAATGACTCATCCAAAGATGAGCCTCGAATCTTCAAATATCGTGTATCAGTACATCGTGGAGCTACAGTTTCTGCACCTTTGCTGGTGCGCGTTGCTTAGTCAACGATAGAAGCTCTGAGGTTTGAAGACCTGCCTGCTAGCGCTTTTTGTTGCGCCTCAAAGCCACTATACTTGATGTAAGCATATTAATTTGCCTTATCCATATCAAACAGGCTACGTGATACATACTGACGGTAGACAGCAAGTAGTGTACACGAGTCAATACGTCTTAGTGGGTTTAGGAAAGATTCGTGCACGGTATTGTTTCGAGAGGCGTACACGGATATAGCAGTATCCGAGCGTCCCAAGTAAGCGACCATTTGAAAACAAGATTAGGACGGAAATGCCATCGTACTGGAAAGCCTAGCGTCATCATCAGGCGTAGCGTCGGCTAAGCGCCTTTCGGCCACTCTGGATTGAGAACTGGATTTTTGTATTTCACGCAATCAATACGAGTGTATATACTGTACTATTCTCACTGACTTATGCAGGAAGGCAATCGCTTGCTAGGATATAGCGACATCATGAATCTGGTCAAATTCAACATTGTCACCGATGATTTATAAGCACTACACAATTATGTAAATAAACGAAAATAAATTCAGACATCGCCATTATTTCAAATTAAGCTTTTTTTTTCTTTGAGTTTTACGTACTCGCCTGGTACTCGCTGTTGTACAAAACTTCAGTTTTGTTTAGTAAGCAATATATAAAGCAAACAGCAAAATATAAAGCCCGTTTTTCTAGGTCTGGTTACGTCACCTTCTATAATAACCATTATCCTAGAATAGGATAGAAAAAATTCTGATGACCAATTGCCGAAAATTGTGGACAGCTGTCCAACTTGAAAGTGATATTGAAAATAAGTTCGTGAAAGCGCATGCAACGGAGCACACAAAATGTTATTGATGCATTTACGTTATGGTAACAGCTGTAGCCATTCGTGTACATAGGAGGTAGGAGGCGTGAATGTAGATAACTTTTTATTGCATGAACTGAAACTTCGTAGTGCTACGATGTCTAGCACGCCTAATATGGAGTACATAGAGCGCGAAGAACGTAAAAGCATTGATACCAATCGAAGGGCATTGAAGTGAACTTAACAAGTTAAATATAATTTCTTTAAAAAATTATTAAGATCTAGCTGACGATAGACTCCCAGAGGCTATCGTTATCACCAACGCCCTGCCTCACCTTAAGCTGAGACGGTCAGATACATGACGATAATGTCCACCTTTGAAAGGCAGTCTAGACAAAACAATTCTTTAAGCTGTCTTATCGTTCACACGTTATTCATGGCAAGTTCTAGTCAACAACTTATGAACGACTATAATCAATTATATTAGCAAAAAAACGGTCCATTAAATATTCTTGGTGGTCGATAAGGCTATAAATTTAGCTAGGTTCACATTTAGCAAGCCTCATTTCTATACTAATTTACTCATTTCTACTAGGTAGTCCATATAATAAAGTTTTCAAATTATGCCTTTTTCATACCACAACAAAAAAGATCATGCATGTAAAGCTTGTGCTTATACTATCCTTCTAGGTGTAACTTTTTCTATTTTTTATTTTCATCGAGGACCTACTCTGTGTTAATTTGCATTTCAGATCAGTCCGAACAATCGGTTCGCTTAAGGCCGCAAGCCTGCTACTGTCTGTGCACGTCTATTTCTGATTGTTCGACCACTAGCCACGGATTTGTAGCTACCGATATTTTTAGCGGTTTTTCTCGTGCTCCGCGGCGCCTTGTTGGTTAGTTTTTAGCTTCTGTTGAAACGGCCGCGGTTAAAAAAGCTGACCAGCGAATCGCCCGAGGTCCTAGGAGCTGCATTGGCCGATCGCCATCAGGACAGGGGATAGTCAAGCGCAAAAGTAATAAGTAAGTTGTAAATCATATTTCTGCTCTCCGAGAATGAACGATAGCTAGCGTAGACCCAGGTGCTGCATATCGGTTAATTGGAAATGTGTACACCCATAAAACATATAACTGTTGTTGAGTCGAAACAGAAAGTGGCCACAACTCCTGATTAGAAAGTGCTCACTGTCAGATTGATCCGATCTGGCTACCTTAATCATTCTAATGAGTGGAAGCTATTGAAAAATTCAGAGAGGTGCCTCACAAGGCCTCGAAGTACGCTCATACAGCGAGGTACGAAAAGGATTAAACGGTAGAGCTCTGTAATTCGATGAATGCAAAGCAATGAATCAAATGTGGGCCTTTGACTTTTGAGCTATTCAAGCTGTTTTCGTTCTCTTAAAAAAAAACCGATAAAACATCGTAACCATAACTGGGCAATAAACAAATCTCTGGGTACTGAGAGAGAGAGAGAAAAAATTGAATGTTTGGCCCTTCAAAGTTTGTCCAGTAAGTGTTATTAGACCAGTGTCGATTCTTATTCTGGTGCTTGTCAAAAATTCGTTTGTTGATATTTCTGTCTGAAGAAACGATGAGCTAGTAACTTGCCGAAGCAAATTCAACCCTAAATATTGATTAGGCTTTACACTCAAGTTCACAAGTGAGTTCAAAAAATGGGCAAGTACAGAGTAGTGATACGAAACCAAGTTATGTATACGTTGTAGCAATTGATGGAGCTGACGCATATAAGCCTTGTAAATGCAGTTCTATCCAGATGGAGTCTAACGACACAAGCTCGTTACAAAACAACCGTTACGGAAGTGAAAGGAACTACTGCACTGTTTGCGAGATTATTGAAAAAAAAGTAAAAAAAAAACACACACAACAACAATACATTGAGCTTAGTATATTATTAGGCCGAGTTTTACTTCTGATGTACAGAACTGTGCAACAGCTGATGTATTGTACGAAATATTTAGCATTATAACTTTAATTAAGCAAAAGTATTCGAGAAGCCTTGGACCCACATCGTTTACGTAATGCTCTCTGACTCTATGCATAGTCTGCACACATACATTGCGATCACTGTGTTTGGCGCCATTTACAAAATGCACTACGATCAGGAATACATGTTGATAAGTGGTGAAAAAAAAAACAAAGAAAAAAACAGGTTTCTGGTTTCATCAAGGGTAGTCTCAAAAGTTTCGTTTGTGAGGCAAACTTCTAATGCCGAACTTGCCTACAAAATCACGGCTGTCCAGTGACTAGCGGGTCCTAAGCCAGTTAATTGGTCCGCTAAAAAAGTCGCCAAAGTATTTTTCGCGCCTTCTAGACGTCCAAGACATAACCTATTCGGCCTTTAGACACTGTCTCAAGTTCGTACTGTTCGAAACGTTTCGCACCAATTGGAGACGAACCCGTCGCTGGAAAATATCAAGTTGCGATTGTATTTCGAGAACTTCGCGAGAGCGTCGCCAGCCAGCTAGAACAGGATTTCTGCCGCACCCGAGCTTCTGGAAGCAGCAATTGTTCTGAAAATTTGAGGTCAACGGATCTCGTTTGCAAAAAAATAACTGGCATTTAGCTTGTACGCTCCCAGTCATATGATCAGAGCTATACAATTAACAAATTTTAATAATAGGCAAGAAATGTTCGTAGGTACATATGGCGAAGCTATTTTTTGAGTTTAAAGCGGGGCTTAAGCGGCCTTCTTATTTCGAATTTCCAATTTCTAATACGAACAATAGTTTTTGGAAGCGCCGGTGGCGTTGTTAGCGCATAATGTCTATCATCAAATTTGTCTGTTCACAACTTAAAATAGTAGTTTCAAAAAAAATAAATTCAGATACTGTCCTTTTAATTTACATAGAATCAATTTACATTTGAATTTCAGCTTCTCAGAATACGTTTCGGCTGCTTTTGTATGGTCCACCCAATGGAATTGTTTTTCATAGCCTGCATTTCGTGCACGTCCGTATATCTGCGTA